CAAGAAGATATGCAAGAAATCCAACATATTTCAGGAAGATACTGCAAGAACAGAGCCCATTAAATGACCTGCATCTTTTAGACACATCTGAGAAACATCTGAGTGTTATCAAGTACAAAAATAGTGGGCCACTATTTAGAATGTAGGTACCTACTGAGAAGTCACAAACATGTTAAAGGCACTCAGCTTCACTTCAGTAGAGGAAAGTAAGGCAACTTTTTTTTTTCTTTTTTTTATAAAAAAGATCAGAACTCATACTCCATTCACAATAGCACTTCTTTCTTGTCACCAAGAAAACTATAAACGAAAACTTTTTTTCTTCTCTATGCCATCTGATTTTCAAGTCACGCACATTTCATTTTTATTTTAGACACATCTTGGTCTTTGACCTTCTGTCTTTACAGAACTGATCTTGAGCCTGCAATACAGTTTCTGGCAGCAGTAGCACCCAAACACTGCCCAACCTGCACCAGTTACCCCCACACTTGTTCCACTGCCCACAGGCGATTTCTTTCTGCCCCAGGCAGAAATGTGCCAACTTGACACACACACAGTGGCTAAGTTCATCCTCTCTGCCTTCATAGCATGGATCATGTTCTTTCAGAACCTTTATTGGCCTAAAGCATCAACAACACACAAGCAGTGTACGACTAAGAAATCTTTTGTTGGACTACTTTTGGGCATGCTTCATGGAAAACCAAAGACAACTTGATGAACAAATGAGTTAATATTTCATTTGAGTATCCAAAGTATGTTGTCTTACATAATAGGCAGTGGAAGTTAAAGATACAGATGCTTCCTCTTAGGAATTTCTGCAAGTCAGAGTAGACAATTTAAGGAGAGCTTACGTTAAACAAAGTAGTAATTTTACAAAACCACTGCCTCACATACAGAAGCCCTTCATTATTTTAGCTCCGTAGAAACATGCCTTAAATTACTGGAACTCAGTTTGAAAAATAGGAAACTGAGGTACAGAAACAGGAAATTATTTTTGCAGTAAAAAAGTAGAACAACAATTTCTGAAGCTGAAATACTACCCGGACTGTTTGACCAGTACTCAGACATTCTATCTTAAATCAGTGCCATAATTCCTTTTTTAGAAGATAGGTAAGAGAGGTCTCCATGGCACCCTGCGAGATACAGAAACCAAATCACAGATGCCTGGCATATACAACGTATTTGGGAAGAAAAGTTAAACTGAGTGCTAGAAATGCACATGCAAGCTCAAAGACCGGCAAGCTTTCAGGGTTCAGAGCATTTTGCTACATGAAAGTTAACAAAATGCTTTTAGGATCCTAGATATCAGATGAGAACCCCCTAAAAAATACTCCCAACTTTGAGTACATTATGGACACAGCTTCAGTAGTCACTATGTGAAAGTCAAGGGTCAGCACCTGTAGAATGCCGGGCAAAATTAAAACTAAAAACTGGCATAAAAGAAACAAAAGCAGATCAACTCAAATGTAGGACAAGTTCCAAAGAAGTACTACTCACTGAGTAAAAAGCAAGGATGATTTAGACATCAGAGAAAGTGATAAAGTGAGCAAGGTAGGAAAATACAAAAGCAGGGGTAGAGGATAAGCAAATGTAACAGCTCTCTACTGCTTGAGACACAACCCAATTTATTATGCACCTCACTGAATGATTCACCATACAAATCTGCTAGCTCTGCTCTGAACAAAACCCACCTTCCAGGCTCCAGCCAGCTGACTAAAAAGCACTTAACAGCACAAGTTAGGATTAGACTGGCAATCTACTTTACAGAGTCAATCATTACAAGATTGAACCACATCTGTCTCTTTTTAATGCACGGCTGCATTAACCCTAAGCAAAATGCAGTGCTTAGAAAAAAACATCTTCAAAAATAAAACACTGAAGTCGTTAAAACTTTAAGCACAATTGTTAAATGCAAGCATTTACTAATAATAGATATTACTGAAGTAAAGAAGCTGCAAACAAAAGAAAAAATTACACAAGGACCCACCATTTTCTACAGTGACACAGAACATGCTACTGGACAATCTTCTATAGACAGTAATTAAAATAAGAAAGTTCTGGTACAAATATGGAAACTGACTAAAAGACAGCTGTAAAGTCTGCTAAATCTGTGGCACAATTAAAAAAAAAAAAAACCCAAACACCAAAAAACAAACAAAAAAAAAAAAACCCCACAACCCAAAACCTATCTGTAAAACCAAAAAGTGAAAGATCCTTTATGAAAGAGAACCCTAATTCTCTCAGTCTCTCATTGTCCGGGCTGACTTCTGGCATAAGAAAATAGGATATATGGAGCTTCATTTAAAAGGTCATACTGCTTCCTTCCTTGATCTTTTACCATGAACAATTTTAGAAGGCATTAAACATTTCAGAACAGCCTATCTACAAAAAATCTTGTTTATCCTGTCATTGAACTAAGTTCAATCAATTCCAGTAAGCCCGCTTAAAAAAAAAAAAAAAAAAAAAAAAAAAAGCCCCCCAAAAGATCTACAAAATATATTTATGCCAATCACTAAATTCCAACTTGAATCAATGCCAAAAGAGCATACTAAACCAATGAGAGATAAAAGTAATTACTGTATAGTTGACAATTTGAAAAGAGAGAAATATGAGATACTCCATTTTCTAAGACAAAAGCTATTTCATTCATAGCAAACTGCTGAACACAGTTGCTAAAACTGTGTCATAATTCAACAAGATAAAAACACAAGACCAATAACATGGGTTTAGCACTCAATACCTTGTTACGGTACACTCTAGAGCTGGAAATTTTCAGCAATAAATACTTTCAGTCCTAAAAAAATCTACCAACTTCTTATTATATATTGAGAACCAGAGGGGAGCTTGACTGACTCTTTCCAAAGGATTTTGCAGGTCATTCTCAACTCACCATAGACTTCATTCTGCCCTGCTATACTACAATACATACAAGAAAAATTAAAGAGCACGAACTGCATCAAAATGTTGACCCCATGAGTAAGTCAGCACTGTCTTTATCATTACTATATACCACATCTGTAGCCTTATACTCCCCAATTCTAAAAATCACCCAAAATGCAAGCTAGCAATACCTGTATTCATACTCCCAGCCTCTGAAAATGTGGAAATCTAGGAATTAATGCACTAGAATGTACTTTCATTCCCTCATCACTTCAGTGCGACAAGGAACATACAACCACTGGTATTTAGAGTTCACAGTGTTTCCAGACATTGTCTACGAGCCAAATACCAGTTTATCTCTCCTAGATTTAATTTTGTGTCGGACTCTGTCCTATTGACAATTTCTCCATTGCTGTCAAGCCAATGCATAATCAAAAATCCTTTCCAGGGCTCTCCATCTCCCCCTTCACAGTGATCATCATGCCTAAAGCACCCCACCGGAGGCTTGAAAGGGGTCAGGAGATGAGCAGGGAGAAAAAGAAGTGTTTAGATCTTGCCAGAAGGCTTTACCATTGTAACTACAACAGCGCATCTGCCTCTTGCTTTGAAATTCCAAAGTGAGAGTGTTCACATAGCTACTTATACCAATGTAATTATGATGGTACATTTCCTCAAAGAGGCAGGCCAGCACTTTAGTGGGGCCTGGTAGCTGATTCATCTGAATTTTTTAATATTTGCTCACAAGCTGAATGCTGCTGCAGCCTCACAAGACACTTCCTGCTTTAGCCTCTGGAGGGGCAGTAGTGCTAAAGCCAAACAAATTTTAACATTATAATTGCAGTTGCTTTTCATATAACATTTGATCATCATATATACAAAATTAAGTATTATTATTTCCATTTAAGCAGAGCATTTGTGCAGCTTACCTATAGAAACTTTAATATACTTGTTCTTATCAGGTAGATCTGAGTCATCCATGCTTGCAAGAAACCACAACTCAATGCTGTGTCAAAGCATGCTCCAAATGTCAATATACAGACCTCCCTCTCCAATTTCCACTATATTGTATTAACTGAACATGATCACTACTCATCAGCAGTTGTCCACAGTCAAACATCTTCACAGGATTAAATAAAATGTTATCGCCATTACCAACAGCTGAGTTTAAGTAACTGAGATGATTCAAGTTACCGTGCATGCAAGAAACTTGCAAACATTAAAATTAAGCACTGGTCACCAGCAAAACATCAGTACTCAGTGCATTAAATCAGTAAGGAAAATACAGTTTTCTTTAAATTTGTGAACAGCCTGCAGTAAGGCAACTTCTCCCAAGGTATTTTCTGCCCAGGGTTCTGAAATGGAATACATGTAATCAGACCCACTGCATCATGGAAACCACCAGGATGCCAACAGAAGTGCTTTAATCTAAAGCAAACATCTCCACATGACGGAAAATAGAGAGGAGGGGGAGTGTACAGCCGGCTAGAAATCTTACAAGACAAAATTCATTTGCTACTGGGCATTTCTTCCCGCACATTATCTTGCAACTGAATTGGCTTGACTGCCATTGAGAAACAGATCCTGGGGCCACGGTGACAGCCAAAGTATTTGTCACTGACAAAGGGCTGCCCCACAGATCTGTTATTCCTGTGCCAGATTCATGCAGCCTGACATCCATACCCAGTGTGCACACAGCTGGAGAGGTAACAGAGACAAAGGGAGGATGCAGCGCTCATGGATTTGCAGAGCATGCGACCACCTTCAGGAATGCTACTAGCTTTAGCACCACTGAGAAAGTATTTCTTAAAATCCCACAGGAAACAAGCTTTCCATTTTTGGGTCTCAGATATTTGAGTAGACTTCACATTGCCATACAGATAATCACTGTATTTCAAATTTACTACCACAGCAAATCAATCCAAATACAACTTTGAGAAGAAGATGAAGAAATTTCACATGGGGATTTAAACAAACAAGGTCACTGAACAGAACAGTCCTTGTTTGAAGTGTCCAGAGTCCCCTCATGCCTGTCCTCACAACCAACTACAATTTTTTTTTTAAACAAGCAAACAAAAAACCCAAACCCCACCTCATTTTTTTATGTTTTGTTATTTTTGTTATAGATGTGAAGGAGCCATTTTCTCCATATATGAAGAGCAACAGATGGAGCAGGATATTCATCACACTTCAAACTATGGTGATGTTCTTGCTCAGTGAAGCTGCCTCCCAGTAGCTGCAGAGACGTGATGAAAAAAAAAAAAAAAAAAAAGATGGGGAAAGGAATAGGTTCTCTCTGCCTGGCTGAATTCCAGCAAGAGCATTTAGCTTTGCAGGCTGCCTAAAACTCAAACCTGTTGCGAGGCTATTTCCTCTCCCTCTTCAAGCTAAGTTTAATTATCTGCTTCTGCTTTGCATGTGACCCAGGAGCTCTGCAAAAGAACCTCCTCCAGTAAAGCTGGTGCCAACTGTCAAAACAAGCCACGATCAGCACACAGTGACTCTTCCACTGGCACCCGCCAGGCAGCATTACTCTATCACAACCTGGCAAGCACATTTCACCCTATGAGAAAAAAAGTGGTTTTCTGGCCTAAACCAGGGACTGTGTGTCTGGATGGCTCTAGCCAGAGCACAGCCAGATAGCCCATCTACAGAGGGGGAGACAAAAGCATGGATGAACAGGTGCAGACACCAAAAAACATAGTTAAAGTCTTGCTGATAAGTGCAAAACCTGATAAGTCGTCTACTAAAAGGAAAAGGGAGAGGAGGTCAAGGTTTGCTATGCAATATGTACAGCTGAAGTTGCACTGGTTAACATCCAAAGTAAACAACACTCCAGCATTTAAACCTATCACCAACATTCCTACGTCTTTCCACAGTGGAAGAACAAAAAAGTGTGCTTGTCTTTTTTGTTTTGGTTTCTTTCTTTTTGTATTACAGGGTTTTATTCTCACAACAATTTCCATAATGTGAGTGGGCTGAACACTTTATTTAACTTCATAGGCCCGACATATCTGAGTGTAAAACTTGGGGCTTTCAGTACTATTCAAAGGGCTGCAGCGCTTGGCAAAACTGCACTTACCAACCGTTGAGTAAGTATTAATAAACTCATACACCGAGGCACCTGCCACTGAAGCAACCTGTCCTGGCTTTGAGTGAGTGGTGGCATTTTTGGGTAGCAGGGGAGGGGGCTACAGCTGGTGAGAACCAGATACAGAGAGAAGTTATTTTAGAACATGTATCCATTTCCAAACTACTACAAGGTATTTTCCTTTACTGCTGAAGGCTATCATAACTCAAGGGCAGAGAAGTCTGTGACAAATGCATTCATTTTACCAGTGCTCTACTAACTTTGACACATCCTTAAAACAAAGAAAATCCCACAACAATTGCAAATGGTGCTCTCTGCAGTATCCCCGTACCACCTTCACCAGCCAAAATGATTGAGCTTGTTGGTTTGCTAAGATCAGATCTGCACCCACATGAACCACTTCCGCTACTGAAACCGCAGGGACTACGCAGGGCAAACCACAACCTATCATTTTGTGTCTCTCAACAGACAGCAAGAACAAATTGCCAACTAGAGAGCTGCAGTTCCTCATTATGAGATCTCTTTAGCTAAGAACTTTTATCCTCGACACAGAAGTATTTGATAAACCATCATTCCCCACCACCCTTACATTAGGGAGTTCACATCATATAAATTCATTCCTTTCTCTCTATTACAGTTCCCCCTGAATATATTTTCAAAGTTGTTATGATGCTGCCTACCTAAGTCAGATTAGACGGCTACACAGCAGTCTGCAGCAGTGGAGAAAATCACACGTTTAAAACCAGAAACGATTTGAGAACAGCAGCTTAATTTTGCCTCAAGTCACTGCCTAATTTGGGACATAACATAATTTTTCAGAGGGTGGAAAAAACATCCTATCGACACAGATCAGAAAACTGCATTATTTTCTTACTTGCAAGCACCAACTTTGAAAGCAACTTAACAAGAGAACAGGAATCATTATCATGGCTCAAATACTGTCACATGGGACTTGCCATCACTGCAACCCAAGCAAAATTTTAGAAGGCATTACAACAGCTGAAACAGTCTTCTGGTCCCAAATAAACAGTATCTGCCTCCTCAAGAAACAGACAGGTACTCCCAGACACCGAACACCTATCTTCTGTCCTCCACAGAAAACTCAACAGTTGTAGCCCTGGCTTGTCAGGGTTTTTAGCCTTACACCAGCAGGTCTTAGTCCTCTAGGGCTGACGTGTGCCTTCAGAATGCACTGGCAGACAGGAAACCTCTCTCCTATCTGGCAGTTGCCACCACCTCTCCCATTTCTGTCCCTCTCACTCATTTCCTATTGACTTTCTCGTGTCTTACATTGCAGCTTTTTCCTATTTCCTTTTTTTCCTCGCTAATTATAGCGTCTCTCCTTCAATTCTCTCCCCCTTTTTCCAACACTTTTCTGGGAGCTTTGATCTCAGTCCCTACTCATCAGAATATTCTTTTGCATCTGGGCACAACGGAGGCATGCAATGGTGCCTCTGTGCCACGACAGTACTGAGAGGAGATGCCTTGTCTGATGTGCTGCCAATAAGCTACACTAACAGCCACTATCATAACAGGGTAAAAAGACTTTCAAGCGGCAATCAGATACTTCAGGTAAGCCTGCAGGTTGAAGCTTGTCTGTTTATGGGAGTGGTGGACTCAGAATCCTGTACCTGTCTCAGATCAGTCTAGTGCTTTATTAAATAGATGGGTCTTTTCCTCCAGACTGGGAAATACTTTCTAAGGTCAATTCAGATCCCATCTAAGCTTTCCAACCCCCTTCCAGCACTACAGTTCACTCAGGACTCCATAAAAGACTATCTAACTCTTCATGGGTTACTGGTTCATCTTGGGAAGTCATCCAAGCTCCCGGGTAAAATGACTGCCTGTGATACCACAAACAAGGATTCAGTCTGCAAATAAATTCAAGATCAGCTTCTCACAAAAACAAGAATAGTCGTGCTGCTACTCACAGTTTCAAGAAGGAACAGCGCTTGGTTTCCACCAGTATCTCTGAAGACTTCCAATACGTATTTTAAGAGCTCGGGAGCAGATGGAAACCAGTTTGACTCTTACCCTTGTATACGTATCTCTTGTGCCAACTGAGAGTAAACAACTCCCAAAACCTGGGGTTTCTCCTTTAGGTTTCTTGCATCAACACTGCAACTTCTTTATAACCACCAAAAGAGGCCATTCTGCTCAATTCACACAGTTCAGTCCGTCTTTTACATAGCCCTGTTCCATGACCACAAAAGATTTAGTTTTCCTGAATCCCTAAATGAACTGAGACCCAAGTGCCACTTCCAGGGCAGCATACACTGTTAGCATGCCAGTCCTGAGAAGAACACTGCCTATCTTCCACAGGGCATTTGACAGTATCCAAGTACCAAACACGACAATGATCCAGATAGAGTACAACCACATTATTCCAAGTACAGGAACTCACATGCTATGCCTTAGGACCTTTTCCACCTCAAGTATTCAGCCTCAGGAAGGACACCATTCATTTGCTTTTCCAGTGCCAGAGCAAATTAATGAAGTACCTTACCAACTGACATCAGAGCTCAGAAGTTTCAGTGTTGTCAAAACAAAGCTTAAAATAGCCACATAGATAATATTTAAGTGTTTGCCAACAAATGTAAACGGCAATGTTTCTTATTTACCAGACTTCGCTAAACGGTACAACTGTGCAAGAAAGGGTTCCTGCCCATTGGTCTTAGAAGTCAAACAGACACAATACAGAAAATGCTCAAGGAAAGGATGCAGAGTAATAACAAAGCATAAGTGATGTTTAGTAGACCATTTGTGAATGTCACAGTCTGAACATTGTTTGTTTTGTTTTTACTATTTATACTTATGCTTACATTTTAAACATAAGGACACTGCTTTTTCCTGTCATTTTTAATATATTTATTTTTAAATGTTTTCTTTTAAAAGAAAAATGAGTAAACCTTGTTTCTTCCTGTCTTTTTCTAAGTGTGCTGTTTCTATTTTGTATGTATCCTGCCTTGTATTTTATCCCTTGTACATTCTTAATCAAACATTGCACATGTTACATCCCTTTTCATTTTACCCATTACTTTGGTATTGCTTCCCCTGTCCTTATTTTGGGCCCCCTCTTCTGATGTTAAGACATTACCTACATCCAGGCTCCTGGCCCTCAGTTTAATCAAGCTGAGACATGAACTAACCCTTCTATTCTTTAAACCTAATAATTATCCAGAAAAGGGCAACAGAACAGAACACAGCATCACCTACCAGAAAGTATGCATTCAAGTCTATTTTCTCTTAGTGTTACTGACATCTCTTACATGAGAAAGATCTATTTATCTCAAAGCAGATAAAATATCAGGACTAGAGTGAAAGAAGGGAGAGTGCCTAGGCAGAGGACTATTTGCAGAGCCTTAGGAATGCTACAAGAAACATTTTTATTAGCATCTCAGATCACCTAGAAACTCAAGGATAATACAAATGGTATTCATTAATAAGTCTCCTAGTGCTGATTTTCAGAGGGAAGGAAGAGGTATTCAATGAGGACTGTGGAGGATAAAGCCCTGAAAGCAAGAGCCTAAGCTTATCCTTCAACGAGCACAGCCAACATAGTTTCTCTGTGACCCAGAAGGACCACCTAGAGGTTTAAGTGGAGAATTCAGTCTCCAGACCAATGCAAACACCGCTCCTCTTTCAGAAGCTCTGCATAACTACAAGCTATAGCACTGGGCTGGTTAGGGTGGGGTTGACAGTTGTAACCATGAGAAGCAAATGATGCTAACCAGAACACTGTGGAAAAAGTGGGAAAAAAAATGGTTAATGTCAGAAAACCTGTTGATTATATTCCAAAGCTTCTTGGGAAAGCAGGGAAATGGAAGCAGGCACTGAGGCTACTCACTGAACAGGATTCACACAAAATGCTTAGGGCATAAATTCACTAGGAGACCCCACTTCTTGAAATAATCAAAAGATCTTGGGATACAGTCATGAACTATGTAAAATAACTGGTACAGGTGTCTGCACTGCTTTCCCCAGGCAAATACATGAACGCTCTATACTGCCTTCAGATGGACTGCCAAATAATCTTAAATGTCTAAATCACTGCTTTTACAGTATGATACAGAATAGTTCTGAGAGTAAACAGAAGACTACCTTGACTTCCAGTAGGAAGACTGTGGTCAGTGCTGCCACCCTCGAGGACCAAGAAACTCCTCTATACAGGTCATATTCATCAGAACACGATGAAATCAGTTTTAGAAAGATTGGTCTAAGAAGTCCACAAATGAACACCCACAAAGCTCACCAGTGACCTCAGCAACTTCTGCTCCAAGGGTAAGATGCATGTCTCTTCTCAGGCATCTCTACACAGGACAGCAGCAGGCATTAACAAAACAGTACAGTGATCTTAAAGCACTCCAATGTGCAAACAACTGTCCACACTGTCCACAGGAAGAAAGGGGGGGGGGGGAGGTAGGGGGTGGTTCACAACACTGAGGACAGCCCATACATGACAGTCATTAGTTGTGTCAACACACTACCAGCACTCAAACACTACCATGGTAAGTCAAAGAGTTCTCTGTAGAACAGATTGTATCAGGCTGGAAATGTCAAAGATGTCCCTCCATCTTGCAGCAGGGTCTATATGTTTCCCATTTACCTAGGCTCCTATGAATATCACTGACAGGAATGGTATCTGAATATCTCAGATTATCACCAGGACATTTTTCCAGCCTTTTAATGCAATCCCTCATAACCTCTAGGCTTTCCATAATTAGCTCTGGCGAGTATTCTTTTGTTGCTAAATGTCCAGACGCACAGGAATCAGGGCATGATGAAAGATTTTTAGAAGTCTAAAACTGAAGCTGCCTACATCCCAGTACCATTCCTAATCTATCCATTCGAAACACTAATAAATGCCATAATAGGAGTTATGTGCACAGGGAGAATTATACAACTGAGCTAACAGATGAAATATCATTCCTGCCTCCACCCAAATAATCATGACGCCCACAGCTCTATTCAAAACTAGAAAATCAAGCTCACCTCAACTTCTGTCTCCAGTAAAAACCCTAATCAACTATGCAGCATGAACTGGCAGCATTTGCTTCCTAGCCAACAGTAAACATCACAGACAGTATTCTCTTCTGACAGCTTCAATAAAAGCAAAACAAAACATGAATTTATGCACAACTATGTCAACTATTAATTTGCAAACATTGTGAAGGCACAATGACAGAAAGCACATGAAGACTTGCCTCGATGACGATTACATCTTTTAGTCCACAGAAACAGACATTGTGCTGCAGCCCACTTCCCACAAGTATTAGATCTTACAAGCTCTACTAATTAAATAAATGCATGATAATAACATCTAGCTACTCAGTAACACTAAGGAGTGACTTTCTGTGAAGTTCTTATTCTTACCCTGCTGGAAAAAATAAAACCCTTTTTCCCACCATACAGTTAAAGAAGTCCGAGTTACCACGAGGACTTACAAACAGCCAAAGACAAGGAAAGTGCATCTAAGCAGATAAGAAACAATTAGGGTCTATTTTAGTACCAAGTCAGGAGCAAATCAGCAATTAAAACCTCTCAAGGGTAATTATGTGTAAATTCTACCTCTCCTATTTTCCAATCATAGCAACAGAAACTACAGCACTGTTATAAATAAAACTCATTTGCAAGCAACTGCATAGGAAGAGTCATCAGTTCCTCAACAAGGTACTGTGAAAGCAGCAAGAGCCTCCATTCTCTTATTGTGCTTTAATAAACAGAAAGAAACATAAAACAAGTTCTGTAGCCATGCAATTGCTCAACTCTGTAGTGTGTTTGGAATGGTTACAGGAAGAAAAATGCAGTTAACTATGAGACAAGAAAAAAAAAATCGCACACAAATGTTTTTTTAGTGTCATAACAGGATACAGCGGAGTTCTGATCATCCTTTAGTGGCCAACCAGATCCTCCTGCAAATGGCTGAATTTCATCCCAGCCCCAGTATGTCCTTGCAAAGAATAAAACCCTTATCTCGCTCAGCCATGTGTCGCCTGCCACAAACGGCAGAACAGAGCAACGCCCAGAGCCAGCCGGCCTGCCCGAGTGTGTCCAGGCCAGAAGAGCTCAGAAGCAACTGACTGCAGGCACACACATATGAAGACTCACAGAGGTAACAGGAAAACACCTCCTCTAACATTTCCTACCCAGTCAGCCATGACCCAGAGCGAGGTCCCAAAGCTGGCCTTAGACGGACCCTGTAGTCCAGTCTCCCCCTTCCAAAATCTTCACACTGACAGCCCAAAACACCATCCAGCAACAAAAATCCAACATAGCTCTAGTAACTAGACAGGAGTTTAAGGAACAATAAAAATAGAAACTTTCAAGCTAAAAGATATGGCAAATCTCACCTAAATATGGAGCTGGATGAAGACAAGCAGGCATTTTGTCATTCACCTGAACAATTTTAGATACCTGTTTTAGGATACGAAACAGTCCCCTAGATGTGCCTATTTTCTTCCACTAACTATAAAGGCAATCTAGACGAGCAGCTCAGATAGAGATGTCTACCTCAAAGACTTATTAAGTTAAGCAAGATAAATGCCACCTTAGGAGGCCTCTAAACAAATACAGCATAGCTAAGAGAGGATTAATTTAAGAGGGTGTAAATGTTTACAAACATAAAGTGGCAAAACAATAAGGCTGAAGATGAGTTGTTTGATACGGTCCACTGGGCAACAGGATTATGAAAAGAAGCAGCTGACAACATAAAAGAACATCCTGAAAGAAAGAAGGGGAAGTAAATGTCACTGCTTGAAGTTCTGACTCTCTCATACCACCAGAAGCTATGCAGGGCACAAAGGCTATCCTGAACCACATTTTGATTATATATTTCTAAATCTCAAGTACTACACTACAAGATAAAACTTTTTCTGCTAGCACCCTTTACATGTTTCTCCAAATGCTGAGTCGCTGAGCAGGAAAGCGCATGTGTCAGATGCTTCTTCAGTAACTTTGCTCAACAGCCATTACACTCTCAGAAGTCTTAACATCGGTTATGTCTTTTTATTTAATACCTGGCATTTCCCCAAGCACTCACTCCCTTCCAGCTTTAAGACACTGGAGGAAAAAGATGCAAAAAAACAATGTTGCTTCATGAGCCAAATGGATAACAGAATCCAATAAGGGATGAAGCGTAACCATCATCAGAATTATCTGGGTTAAGATTTGTTCCACAGAGAAAATGATCCCAGACGTGTGAGATTTGAATTGGCAAGACTATATTTCAGCGTAGTCTCAGACAATAAAACCCACTGAACTTTCCAGGGAAAAAGAAGAAAACACGGGGGGGGGGGGGGGGGGGGGGGGGCAGAGAAGTAGAAAAAAAAAAAAAAAAAAAAGAGGGTGCTGAATGAAAACATCATTTATCATACTGGCTACAGAACAGCACTAGAAAAGGCCATTCATACATTCCTTCTAATTTACATATACTTTAATGCCATACACAATATCATCAACAAGAAGGTAAAAGACATAAAACATGTAAAGGATGGGACAAGCGCAACCTGGACAAGGGAAATGTCAAACAGCCATCAAAACATGTTATGATGGCCACCTTAAAGTGAAGGGATACAAAAGGAAATATTTGCTGTCTGTATCAGGGATTTAAACAGCCATATATGTAAAATGCAAATATGTAAAGCTAATATGGAGAAAAATGCAGGCCCATGCTACCCTATTATATTCGTAATACCACAGATGCAAGCTGGGTTTTTCTGTTTTAAGGCAGTTCCCAACTCGATCCCACCAAGGAAGGTCACTGATAAATAGAGAATTGAACGTGTCATATGATTTATACCACGTAGATCTCCTGACACTAGAAGCATCGAGTTTGTTTATATTGCACCTGCTTTACATTCCAAGCTCAAGAGCCGGATTTAAGGAGGCAATACAGAGGCTTCTTGGGCCTAATGGGAAACCAAGCTTTTCACCAACGTACTGCCAGGACAACAGTGTCTGAAAACCAACCCCCTCCAGATCCTGCACAATGCCGTAGATAAAAAGGAGTGGCCTTGCTCCAGACACTAGCAAGCAGATGTCCACATGATGAGAACATGGCACCACTACCACATCTGCCGCCCTCAGCCAGGGAATAAAAGGGCCACGACAACCAAATTCCCTTCTCACCCCCAGGGCTGGGGTTCCGTAGGCCAGAGAGAAGAGCAATGCCAAGGCCAGGCCCTGCTCCCCCGCCTCCCCCCAACCATTCCACAACCCTGTCACCAGAAATCTCCGACTGCCAGGGTGGTGGAGGCAGCTCCTTACCTGACATTAAAAGTCTTTTAAACCAAAAGCTTAATGGAACACCAAACAGAAACATCCTCTTGAGGTGACTGAAAGCAAAAGGAAATGAGACATTTTCGTCTCCGCTACATTTTCAATTTGGCTGTTCCAATTCAATAATGGAAAGTATTTTGTTTTACTAACGAGCAAATTAAATTGCATGCTCTCGTTCTTTTGCTTCCCTTGCACCACTCAACTGCTTCTTGGTATGAAAATCCTGTTGTTCCTTTTGATACATTGCAACCTGACATAAGACATATGCTATTAAGTACGTGACAAAATTCTCACAAAGCCACCGAAACACCACCTTTTTACTGTCACTGTACTGTCTGGTACAGAAGAAAAATGTCCTGCAACTCAAGACTATCTCATGCACATGCACTGCAAAAGAAAAAAAAAGTTAAGAGTTTTCTTTTGTCATGTATTCTGCTAGTACAAACATACAACACAATTCATTTCAAAGACTCGGTACTCCGAACAGCACAGTCTATAACTGATTCTGAGCTGTACTAGAGCCCTATCGCACTGCTCAGGCACTGTAATGTCTGTTAAGACTTGTGGAACCACGAAAAGGCCTAAGTGTGAGAACTGTGCTGGCTCTCTTTCCTGCCCATACCTGGAGTCTACAAGGTGATCTCAGGCACCCAAAATTATCATCCCTCTGTCCCTGTCCCGCTTTCTCTCCTGTGTCAGAACTTCTTGCAGTGGTCATGAAAGGCAGCAAGGCCTTTGTCACACATATTCACACCTTAACCGCCAAGTACGCACAATAAAGGAGAATATAATGAAATACATAATAAGAGAAGTTTTTTCAGCTTACAAATACCGAAAAAAGCATCTTTTCTTCTTGTCAAAGAAATCTGAAGACACACATTCCATACTTCTGTCTCAAGAGCACGTATGAGGTTTCCTACTTTTTTTTTCTCACAATAGAGAATACATTTTTTCCCCTGCCTCTTAAGCATCCCAGTACAAGTGAGAGAACCTCTGAGTGCTAATGAAATGCACATGGCAGCACCTGCAGAGAAGCCCAGAGGCCTGAGCAGGTATCTAAAAGCAAGGGACTGATTACTGCTAAGACAGGGTAGACACCAGCAGACATTCCTGCTCATCAACTACCCCTCCTGCCCTTGCCTGAAGTGACCTCTTTGGAAGGCTACAATGCTTGACCTAACGAGAAGCAAGTGCATCCTCTACACCGTTTCTGAATTCCAGTCTCAAGCTGTATCCTAAGCTCTTGTCACTTTTCCAGCTTTACCTTCACACAGAAACAGTTGCTTTGGGTGTTCCTCCCAGCACCAACCTGTCCTGGGAGCTGAATTACAATCCCTGGTTATTACAAAGTCAGCCTGGCAGACTTGAAAGTAGGTAGGACTTGAAATACTCCAGTCTCAAAGTTAACCCAGCTGACTTAACAATCAGCCACCCCAGGTATGTACTGATTTCCAGAACCTCAGATTAAATCCTGCTTTTCTGATCTTGTCTGTCATGCTGTCACTGAAGTCAGAACGCAAAGCACATGAGCTCTGGGAAGATCCTAAACTTCAGGGGAGAAAAAAAAAAAAAAAAAAAAAAAATCTCATTTTGTACTGACCTGTCCGTGATTGTGGACTGTGTGCCACTCATTGGAGCCTTTGGCAAGAAGTCGTATTATCCAATTTACATTTTATTATTACTTCAGGAATATTAACGAGGCTTTGCCCCCCACATGCACTGAGGTTCAGGATCCAGCCTTGCTCCAGAAGAGGCATGCACAGAGGACAAATTCAGTTCAAGGGCAGGAGGAAAAAAAAAAAAAAAAAAATCCGAAACAATTCCAAAAGTCTTCTTGCAGTCACCCAGAATATCCAGACCACGGAAGTGGGGTGTGGAGGATGTTCAGGAAAAACTCCAACAAAACAAAAACCAAGAAAACGAGCTGTTCCCCTCGATGCTCCCTTAGCCCCAAGGAAAAAGGGGGAAAAAGTAACGCGTGCCGAGAAAGTAAAATCTTCCGAAGCTGCCAGTCCTCAGCGGTCCGGAGTTTCGGAGCGGAGGGGAGTCCCCGGTGTCCGCGCAGGCGGCAATGCCAGCGGCCAAAAACTCGGGGGGCGCCGGCGCGGGGCCGGCCGCCCGCGGGGCTCCCCACGCCGCCGGGGCCGCCCGCCCCCCGCGGCTGGCTCTCGGCAGGAGGGGGTGTCGGCCCGCCCGCCGGGTCCCCGTCCCCCGCTCCCCGCCGCTGTTTACGGCCTCTCGCCCGCGGGGGGCGGGCGGCGCGCCCCGCCAGCTGCCGCTGTCCCGAGGGCCGCCGCGCAGGGGCCCATGTCCCGCTGCCGGCCCGCCCCGACCCCCCGCCCGCCGGCTCGCCCGCAGGGGGGTCGGGAAGGGCGGCTGCCCCGCCGCCGCCGCCGCCTTTAGGCCCGCAGGTCCATGCCCCGCCGCTCCGCCTGTCCCGCTTGCGGCCCGAGCTAGAGCGGGGCGCGGCGGCCGGGCCTGCCGGCGAGGCCCCGGGCGGGCTCGGGCAGCTCAGCCGCGGCGCCGGCCCGGTTCGGGGGGTGAGGGTGGGCAAAGTCCCGCGGCGGGCGCTGGCGGCGCGGCCCGCTCCTGCCGCTGCGCTGCTCCGCTCCCGGCCCGGTGCCGGCCCAGTGGCGCTGCTGCGAGGCGGGAGCGGCGCAGTCCCGGCCGAGCCTGCGCCGAGCCGAGCCGAGCCGGGCCGGGCCGGGCCGCCTCCGCGCTCGCTCCGCCCCCACGCTTGCGGGGGGGCTCGTACCTCCGTACCGCCTCACCCCCCCCTCCGCCCCTCCTGCCGGATCCTTCCGCCGGCGCTCCGCCCGCCCGCCCCCTCCGCCGGCGGCAGGCCGCCCCTCCGCTCCTTCACGCCGGCCTCCGCCTTTTTCCAGGCCGGCGGGGTGTTTCCGCCGCTTCCCCTCACGATTTGGGAACGGTTACTCGTCCTGCGGCCGGCCGCATCGCTGCCGAGGAGGTTTCCCGTCCCTCCCCGCTTCTCTGTTTTGTCTTGTCACAAGCTCGCAGGGGCGGGGAGTGCCTGTGCCTCCATCTGCACGGTATGCACTGTGGAAAATATGACACCGAAGAAACTTACAGCAAAGAAAATAAACAGCAAATTAAAACAGTAAGGTGCCAGGAGCCACGCAGCTCTGGAGCCCCGGGTAGTCACCAGCTGCACTGTTTACTCCCAGACCTCTTGTAGGTCCATATCCAGTCTTGCGTTCCTTACATGGCCGCAACATACTTCCTTAGGAATTTTTCTCACAGGTGAAGGTCAACAAAAAGCCAAGATCAGAACGGGAACTGATTCCTCCCTGTGCCTACCTTGGCCTTCCAGAAATACTGCAGCCAATGGCCTGTTCCTGCTCCCCTTAACACAAAAAACCTCATTCTGATACGAAAAGGTGAGCAACCGACAGTATATTGCCATATCTACTACATATTGAATATTTGGACGTTCAAATTTCAACACACGGATTTACCTTGGCCACAGCTCTCAACAGAAGCACATCCTTGCTGGTACGTTGCTGTAACTCCCTGCCACTTAAGCCACGTACAACACAGCTTTAGGGAAAAGTGCCAGTCTCAACCCCATGTGCATTTAAACAGCAGAGCCTGCTTCGGACGATGCACAAAAGGCATGAAGCAAATTGTAAGAGATCAGAAGCTGAGTTCTAGGTACATTACCTAATCCCAAAATCGCCTTGCCAGCAAGGGGATAAATAAGATGCCAGCCAGGCACTCTCCTTCTCAAGCACCTAGGAATAAACACCTAGGAATAATATCTATATACTAGAAGCTCAGGAACCTTCCATGCTACTGTGCCTCAGGTTGCCAGGAATTAAAGTTCATGAGCACCACAGAAGTGGAATGGAAAGCAGAGCAGCCCCGCTGCCAGGGAAGGTGGGCATTAATACCTGGCCTCCCAGCACAGAAGAATTTGTGGAACACCAGTCTTTACTACCAAATGCCAACAGACCAAAATAATCTTATTATCTAATCCCAATCATATAGGACACTATCCTTCTTCCCTCTAATTAATCTTACCTCAATATGGTTCTTCAAAGCCAGGATGCCGGACTTGGAAAGTCTAGAAAATAGGCTTCTGGAAACTCAGGACCAGGTACATCATTAAGCATACAGGATGATACCTCCTTGCTTGAAGCTATATATTTAGGACCCTGCCGTTCTACAACATATAGCTTTTTCTTCCTCAGAGCAAAGCGAGCATGAATTAGGAAGCCGGGAGACTGTTAGTCTGAAGAATTTGTTGTTTTGAAGAAGTTCAGTGCAAAGAAGGGAAGCGTGGGATGAAATAATTTTCTACATAATATTTGACATCTATATGCAGGATATTATACTTCCTCTTTTGGTTTCCTTTTGAGGAAGTTAAAGGCTTGGGGAAAAAAAAGGCAGGAGAGTGTAAGACACACAGCCATGATTGCCTCTCCTTCTGCAGCTGAACGCAACACATTGGTCAGTGGTAATAGAGTGACTGAACATCTCTACCTATATTTATTATACATCTCTTAATTTCCTCAACTGTGCAATAAATCCCTCCCTGCTTTTAACTTAAGGAACATCAAGTACTGTGCCTTGAGAGAAGACGGCTCCTGAGAGATCTTCTGTTTCATGGCAGGCCCATCATTTGCATATTAGGCCTCAATATTTTTTTACTATTTTAATTACATTTTATTGTGCATGACAACATAACAACAATGACAATTAGCTGGAGGAAATCCTGAAAAAAAAAATATATAGGAAGGAGAAGGAAACTTAACCTGTGCTGCAGTAAACTGACGTAAAATTCAGGGGAGTGACAGTGAGCCAAAAATTTGCTCAGTATTGTCAAAAGAAGCATCACACAAAACTATACCAATGACAGAAATGAAGCATAAAACCTTTATGCCACACAGTTCAGTAGATGAACTCTTGCTCATAATGGGCTGCATTCATATTTCAATGTTTAATGCAACAATTAAAAAGAAAAAACACTTTAAAAAAATTAAAAACAACTTAAAAAGAAAAACAATTCAAAAGTAGACTCTGAAACCATAACTACTTCTCTTTTCTGCAAATGCTGATTTTTTTGCTGGGAGATGATTGTGTACTTATGTTAATATAGATGCCTATTTGTGATACTTCTGCCTGGGCAGTTTTACAATGTGAAATCTGGGGGGTTGGGGGGGTGAGGAAATCAATAAGCAATTACACTGTGCAGTAGCAATTAAAATAGACTTTTTCTGGTAGCTCTGAAATTGTGACTTAGCCTGACTTTACATATAGTACTGCCATACAGACATAGATGCTAGAAGTAGAAACTGCATATTAACCTCATCCGTCCATGTCTCCAGGGCAAAGCACCAATGTCCCCAACAATCTACTTTTTATAGTCCAGAGCAGAGCTAAGCAGCTCAGGTAAGGAGGACCCTGAAGTGAAGAAGGTTGAGTACCACAAAGGATAACTAATTACTTTGCCTTCAAGTAAAGGATGGCACAAGAAGGACAGATCCTTGAAAGTGCCTTATAAGGGACACTCCTGAAAAGGCAGGCTTACAGAAAAAGGTTTCACTGAAGGTTTTTGGTTTTTTGGGGTTTTTTTGGTTTGGATTTTTTTTTTTTTTTTTTTTTTTTTTTGGCATAGACCCACGTTTCCAGCCTAGCACCCGAAGCTCACTGAAGAATTGTTGCCATCTGCTGGGAAAGGTTTGTATGGCACCTCTTGTCCCAAACTCTCCCCACTGGCACTTCAACAGCGGGGTCCTGCTTGCACCCTTTTGAAACAAGCGTTTCTAAGCAGAGGCGGGTAGTGGAACTTTGGGGTGCTCTGCCTGCTGCACTCTGGCCGCCCAAGGGTTCAGAGCATATAATCATAGAATCACGGAACGGTTTGGCTTAGAAGAGACCTTGAAGATCATCCAGTTCCAAGTCCCCTGCCATGGGCAGGGTCCCCTTCCCCCAGCCCAGGGTGCTCTCAGCCCCGTCCAACCTGGCCTTGAACCCTTCCAGGGAGGGGGCAGCCACAGCTGCTCTGGGCACCCTGGGCCAGCGCCTCACCCCCCGCACAGGGAAGGATTTCTGCCTTAGATCTCATCTAAATCCACCCTCTTTCAGTTTAGAGCCATCACCCCTCATCCTACCCCCACCCCCTAATCCAGAGTCCCTCCCCACCTCTCCTGTCCCCCCTTTAAGCCCTGGGAGGCCGCTCGAAGGGCTCCCCGGAGCCTTCTCTTCTCCAGGCTGAACCCCCCCAACTCTCTCAGCCCGGCCCCCCAGGGGAGCTGCACCAGCCCCCCCAGCATCTCCGTGGCCTCCTCTGGCCCCGCTCGAGCAGCTCCGGGTCCTTCTGCTGTTGGGGGCCCCCGAGCTGGCCCCAGCACTGCAGGGGGGTCTCCCCAGAGCGGAGCAGAGGGGGACAATCCCCCCCCTGGCCCTGCTGCCCCCCCTGCTCTGGCTGCAGCCCAGGGCAAGGGTGGTTTTCTGGGCTGCGAGCTCCCATTGCTGGCTCACAGGCAGTTTTCCCTCACCAACACCCCCGAGACCTTCTCCACAAGGCTGCTCCTCAATCCACTCCTTGCCCAGCCTGTATTTGTGCTTGGGATTGCCTCAACCCGTGCACAGGACCTTGCACTTGGCCTTGTTGAACTTGATGAGGTTTGCAGGGACCTGCCCAGGTCCCTCTGGATGGCATCCCTTCCCTCCAGCGTGTCAACCACACCACACAGCTTGGTGTTGTCAGCAGACTTGCTGATGGTACACTCGATCCCACCCAGATGTGGCACCTGATCAGGGTTAGCACTGTCATGGATGCAGTATAAACCAAGCTCATAAATCAGGAAAAGATGATACTTCTTTTTAACTCCCTGATGCCAGATTTATCACACTGCCTTGCATCTGATAGCTGATATACTTCAAATTTTACATATGAGCAAGCAGTGAATGTAATCATTTTTCTTTCAGGAAAATTCCCCTTCACCACATTTCAGACAGGATAATCAGCCATCAGAGCAACTTACCTGTGAGCACAGTAGATCTCCTGCAGACCTCAGGTGGAGAATAGATAGCTTTGTATAATTGTGTGCTATAGGTCAGACATGATGGGCTATTAGATGAGTTTCACTAATGTCCATCATAAAAATTAAATGGATAAAGAATCTTTTTAACTTTTGCTACTTACAAGTAATCAGTTTAAAACCAGGGATAGAACGGACCAGTATTTTTGGCTGTTATTTAAACTTAGCATAAATTGCTATGCCAACTGCTGTTCTGGGAAAAAAAAAAAAAAAAAGAAAAAAAAAAAACAAAACAAAACAAAAAAAAAAAAAAAAAAAAAAAAAAAAAAAAAACAAGAAGCTAGCTGATTTTGGAAGGCAACAGCCAAACTTTACACATTGCACAGCTGGAGAAGAAAGGCACAGGGGGAATTATTCATAAGCCTAATATACAAGACAGCTCATTTCCCAAACATGCATATGAATTTGTGACTCCTGAAAAACAGATAGGACCTTGACCTTGTGTCAGGACTGGGGTAAGCCTGGTTCTCCCCTCAAGTTTAGCACAATTTAAGCCTTCCTGCCTTACTGATTTTTTGTAGTGCCCTGCAATTCCAAACTCACCCAGGCACTAATGGCTGCTGCTTAGCTGAGCATCCCTTGATCCCTGGGCACTGCTCTGTCATGGGATTCTTCTGAGCCAACTCAGAATGTGTGTGGGATTTTGTTATTTGCCAAAATTCTACTTTTGAGGGAGCTGAAGATCGTAATGGCACCCCAAATCATATCCAGACATGTGTTTATCTCCTTGCTCATCCACTGCATTTTCCAGCCAGGTGCTGGGCTGATGCTAACCAGCTTCACCCTGACGTGGATACAACCTACTTCAGAAACCGATATGACTGATCCAGTGGCCACTCACAGACATCTGGATGCAACTCTAATCTGAAAAAAAAACACGAATTTGTGCTGTGCTCCACATTGCTATGCAATTTCAAAGCCTTTCTCCATCTCATACCTTAAAATAGGCACAAGATTTGCTACCTACAGACAGACAGCTTGTTATGCATCCAGTTCACTGGAAGTGCATACAGAGCTGGCCTATGCTTAAGTCACTTGGACACAAATGCAGTACTCTGCTGACTTTGTTGAGACAGAGGTGGACTAATCTATCAGACCTTCTACTGTGACAGCTTATTATAGTTTCTAAACCTGGATAATCCACATTGCAGTAAGCATTTTTATAGCACTAAGCTTTCTTTCCATATCAGCATAATTAAAGCAGCAACCTTTGTAAGGACAGATGAAGCTGCTGTACATTCTGTTATGAGTTTCCTTTTTGTTCTCTGCTATAATCAGTGTCCTCTGATTGGAGGGGGTATTAAAAAAAAAAAAAAAAAAAAAGGTATTTCTTATTAGGGTAAAATCTAAAGAGTTGGAGAATAATGTCATTTCTCACCACATTTGAGGATTCTCAGTTACACTGAACAGAATTTAACCTTCTGACATGATACACAATTCAAACAACATAATATAAGCATTGCTGAGAACCTGTACTTTGTGACATTTGAGAAGCCACAAAAACCGACACTTTCTCCGTCCCATACAAAATTAACTGAGGAAACCGTTATTACTTTGCAAAAGCTTCTCCATATACCTTGATCTCTTCTGTTCCTTCTTAAAAGTCATTTTTTAAAGATACCTTATGTTGTCAACTCAGCTGCCAAACTCCCCCTAGAACCTGAAGAAAACAGGACAAATCCAGCAAAAGCTAACACCTTCTCTTACACAGATTTACTAGAGCACATATTGAAGCTGACTTGGAAAGAGAAAAGTGCTGGTGTATTGGTATAACCAAAAAAGAATTGCTCCTTGCCCAGAAATTGCTTATGCAACACAAAGCTAGTGCTGACTGATTTTCTCTCTCCATCTCTGAAATTTGATTTATTTGGAAATGGAAGCAGATGTGTTATCTTACTTCCAGCCAAGCTATACAAAGTCTGCAAGTATCAGGAACATACCCACGACTTCCATGAAGCGTAAAACTTTCATCTTTTTTGTCCAAGAAACAGACATGCTGACAGCACTGGTATTAGTCTAATAGCAGACTCCAAAGACTTAAAATGCCATGCTTTTACATCAGTGCTTGGACTACTGTTGCAAGGAAATAAAGCCTTGAATATCATAAAACTGCAATTTCTTCAAATACAAATAAGGAGTTCAGCTAGAAAAAGAGGACAGAGGACTGAAAGAGGAGGTTAACTTTATAAAGCTCTACTACAGGGCCAGTAGAAGCAAAAGGCAGGCAGCAGGGAAGGAATGGCTTTAAAATAAATAACGGGAAGATCAAAAAGAAAATTAATCGGGGACAGGGGAGCAGATTTCACTCTTTACAGTCAAAGCACATTTACCCATTGACTTAAGGCTAGATTCTGGCATGTCATTCCTGAAGACATGAAACTTGAAAGATGCTTGTAGCTCTAAAGCAATGCTGCTGTACTTTCTTCTCTGCTTCTGGACTACCTCAGAGGTTAAACAAACTCCCAGCATAAATTACTGCAGTCCCTGAAACCCCTTCATCATGCAGCTGAGCGGCTTGTAGAGTGTAAACAGGCCAGAATCTTGAGAGGGCTCAACACTACACAGATGCTCCCCAGCACTGGAGGATTTTGAGGTAGATTTAAGGGTTACATCCAAACAACTAAATTGGCTTAACTATTCATAGAAAACAGAGTTTTGGCATGCCGGATCTCTGGTAAAATGCTGTGACCATAAGCAAGGCAGAATAGCTATTCTTTACCAATGCAACACTACAGGTCTTTCCCGAGTGTGGCTTGGCTACACGGGGTTTCAGACCTGATGGTACAGGTCATTGCAGGGCAGGGCCTTTCTTCCATTCTGGGTCTGTACAGTGCCTGTTGCACAGAAATTCTTGTTGGTATCTAGGTCTCTTACTGCAGTCACTGAAAGCATCATTGAAATAAATGTTTTCCTCTCAGTTCAGAAGCATCCTTTGAAGCAGAGCTTTTAAAAGGAGTGCACAACTTTCTAAATCACTTCACAAATCCATTCTGTGTGTTGGTGGCTTTCCCACTGCTAAGCTATTGCATCAAGGGCGAAAGAATCCCCTATGCAAACAGACCCAAGCCCTGCACAACATCCTCCCAGCAGCTTGCATCTCCTACAACAGATTATGTGTCACAGTCAGTCCTGCCCAGGGAGCTTCGGGGGGTGAACAGAGCATGATATACACAGCTCCCAGCAGCTGCACAGCCCTGCAGTTTCTCTCTCGCTCTAAACGAAGACAGCTCCCCAGTATGTAAGCAATATCACAGCAGGCATGCAGAGAGATAGAATAGCACTACTCAGACCCCAGATTAAATCTGCACCTTTACACAGTACTGACTTTGGCTCATCTCTACTGTTACAAGTACCACCACACAAGGCAACATAAAATAATGTTAACGCATACTCTCTTATGAGTCTACTAGACTCATAAAGTCTATCAGACTTTCCAATCAAGCAATTCCTAGGCAACACTGTTTAGTTCATGAATGAGAAGAGCTCATGGTTCATGGTGTGGAAACACAGGAGAACCTTCTTATTTAGCATATAGGGCATGGAAAATGAACATTTTTGCTGTGTGAGATGCCTAAGGATAGGTGCCATGAAAGGCCTGGGCACAAATGGTGCTGAAGAAATGCACCCTGTTAGGCTGCCAACAACCTGAAAGCACCTATTAGCAAACACCAAACTTCTAAGTACTCCTCACAACAACCTTGCTAAGAACAGTGGTTTCTCTGCCTGTTAACACGTGTAAGAAGCATGGTGAAAGCTGTACGAGTCCCTAAAAAGCACCCACCGACCATCACTTTGTTCATTTACACTGGCAATGCTGCCTCATCCAGCAACACACAACAAAACTCAAGACCTGCATCCAAAGACAGAAACCAAATTCCTCAAAATTAAATAATCTTTATTTTATAAAACATAATACAAAGCATCTACACCATTCACTGGTGGAACATTAGTTGCTATTACACAGTAATTCAAACACAAGTTATTTCACACTAGGTCTGCAGTTTCCTTTTACAATTTGCTCTAGCCACTATGGACTAGCGTGAGGAAAGGTCCCACCATGTGCTCCACAGCTTGAAAGTTGTACTTCTGGGTCTGTGATTCTATGCTGGAGCCCACTAGACAATGAGGCCTTGCTCTGAGAGATCGTTGCTAACTCTACCTCATAAAACATTCTTCATTGCTCTGTTGTTTTCTAGTGCCCTTGTTTAACTTCGAAAGCCCCGATGTTGATCACAGTGCTCTACTTCTGTATTTCCCCCCAGTTTAAAGAAGGGGACCACTCAGCCATTAAAAGTGCATGATCTTTCAAAACATCTTCACACAAGGTGTTTCACAGATGCTTGCAGTCACTAACTGACATCCTTATTCACTTGGGCAGGTATCGGCTGTACAGCCCCAACAGAAGGGCTGTAATCATGCATTAAGCTGCACACCAAACCTCAGCAGAGGTCAGAGTCCAAGTCATCAGGACTGCTCAGGAAAATCTTCTTGGTAGTCAAATTAACAGCTGCCCTGAGAAACGAACAGGCTGTTTCACCTACATTTCTTCAGGACTTTCTGCTGAAAGCCTTATTCCCTGGTCAGGCTGGTTGCTGAAACTCTTTTTGACTCCAGATTTACTGCAATCGTTATTAAGGAAAGCCCACCTGACATCCTTTCTTCAACTTGTGAATCCACCTGAACAAGAAGCAGCACAGCTCATCTTTATGCACGTGACTAGCTTACTCCTTTGGACTCCCACCCATAAGCACCACTGCAAAGAACCTTGGACTCCTGCTTTTGTGAGGCAAGCCAGATGCTGTGAAGTGCCATGTTCAGGTAACAAAGTACTGTCGATGGGTCACAGTGAGAAGTGCTTCACTCACAACAGCGTTTTGCCTTTATACAGCACAGCTTGACACAGACCTCCGAGCATTCATCAAAGGTGGCTTAGTGTTAACAAATGAGAACACCCCAAGAGGTAGGTAATACTGTACCCACTTAATTAAGTGGGTAAGCTGAGGCAAAAAGGCTCCTTGACATGCCCAACAGCAACAGCATCAGCAGAGCTGGGAAAGAACCAGCAAGCCCCAACTAGCCCTCCTTGGCTCCCTTGAAGGCTCAATAGCAGTATCACTGTGCTGTGCTAAATGAGTCAAGTTTCCTTTTCAGGACCAGCTCACCCATCAGTTGGCTCTGCTTATTTGAAGTGCTTTGGGCTCTTCAGGTCTTTGGCTGCAACAGGCAAGGCTCAAAGCAGAACTGGCACCTGAGCTACACTTGAGGCCTGGTGCTGAGGCTCAAAATAAATAATCATAGTAATAACAGCAATAACAAACGAACAGTGCTTAAGAACATACAGTGAAAAACACCAGAAGCTGCCAACCAGGGGACAGTTTGTCCCTGCAAATGGGACCAGATAAGTAATGCTTATGTTTTCTCCCAGTCACGTTCCCTTTTTTCTTAAAAAAGGCCAGTGCCTCTCGTTCCTCTAATTATTAGGCTGTAAAATAAGTCTCTCTTACCCTACAAATGCTCACTCTTATAAAGTGACCCAGATTCAAGCAGGGAGACAGAAGTGAATTCAAAGCCCAGGGGTCAAAGCATTGATTTAGATGAAGAAGAGCCAAGGTTAGGTCTCTGGCTTGAACAGGGCAGGGGTCAGAACTGAGGCTGGGTAGCTCTTCCACTTTAGCCACCATGTTTTAAAAATGCATGCTGGCCTCTCTTCAACCAGAAATCTCCATTTGGATCTGAAGAAACCCTGTTGTCAAAACTCGTATCTGTGGTCCTGGGGAAAAACATCAATGGTAGTTTCAAGTATTTCTCAATCGTTTTTCTGTAGAGCTCCCAGACATTCACCTACAGTACCCCACTTTCCCCAAACACTGTAGTAGACTCCGAGTTCATATATACTGGTCTGAATCTGGGTTGACACTTTCAAGGGCAGCAGAAATACACAGCCTTCACCACAAATTGGGTTTTGGACCCCATTCCCTTTAGATTGCCAAAACCAGCAACTACAGATTGTTTGCAAATTGCTGCAGTAAATTACTCTGCATTAACTTATTTTTAAGTTACTTACAACCTGGAGAAGGTATTTGTCTGACAATCTCAAGGCATGCCATTTGGTCTCAGGCTGGCTCCACGCTATGTCTGCATTTGGGCCAATAAGCACAGCAGAGGGAACTCTGGCATTCTGCAGACAAATCAGAGCTTGGACCATTGGCGAGAAAACCACTTACTGGCAAGTCCTGATGGGGCTTCTCATAATGGAGAGTGTTGGTCACTCAAAGAGCTAAAAGCAGTATTTGGAAGGGGTGGACAGAGTTTTAACAGTCAGGGATGAAGAAGAGGGGAAAAAAAAAAAATTAGAAAAGCATTTCACATCGGGGGCTGTGTCTTTGAGGGTATTCACAGAGCACCTAGTCCTGCAAAGTGCTAGTGCTGATTAGAGCTTCTGGACACTACTGAAAAATAAGTTATCAATATGTTATTAAATAAGTTATTAAAAGGAATTAGAAAGGGTAGAAAACAACCACCTACCTAAAATACTGTTCATTCTAGAGCCACACTCTAGTTCAACCACCAAAATCGTTTCTCCCGAAGGAAACAAAGGGATAACCAATAAAGTGCAGATAACAACCAACATTTTGCATTTATATAGCACCTCTCAAGTAAAGATCTGAAAGTGCATAACACAGATGGATCAGCTCCATCACCCCCAATTCACAGATGGGGAAATTAGGCACAGAGTTAGTTACATGACTTGCCCAAGGTCACATAACGAGTTGGTGGAAGAGCCAGGAATCCCAACTCTGATGAAACACTAGAACATGCTCCTTCCTAGCAGTACGAAGAGTCACTCTAGCTGTCTAGACTGTATAGGACACCAAACATGAAGATCTAGTGTTATTTTCTCCTCTCTTCCAAGATTCTACCAGTGCTGAAGGAGTTTACTACTAACATTACTATTTACACCTGCACTGCTGGACTAGTTATGTTTAGTATGTAAAATTAGCCCTTCTTTCACTCATATCATTTAGCGTATGCTTACGTACACGCTGAGCCAGCCTCTGCCAGGTCAAACACTGCAGGTCCAATGAATCCATGGCATAGCTCCATGGATTTCAGTGGAGTTATGCCAGGGATAAATTTGGCTGCAGAATTGCTAATGTGTGTTGGCTCCTCTCCCAACAGTGGCATTTCAGGCACGATCCCCTCCTTGCCAGATTGTGAACTCCAGGAAGTCTTTACTCAGCATCCAGTCAGTGTTTTTTCAGATGTCCATTAGTTTTCAAGTATAACTCATCACTCCTCCGACTCCTCCAAGTGTGGTACTTCTTCATGCTCTTCCTCCTAGCAAAGCGACAGATGCTGACCATGAAAATCCAGGACACAGCATACATGATGACGCCACCCAGCTTAATGTACCACCTGGGTTTGGGAGAAACAAGCTCACAGTACATCAGCCAGGCCCCCACTCCAATCCGCACCCCAGTGAAGAGGACCACGAAGAAGAAATCCACCACATCACCTGTGAAACTGTGGTAACATCCCATCTCCTTCAGGAACCAGCGGGCCTGCAGCAGCGGGTTAGTGATCTCGCTGCCAAAGATGACAGCATTGACCTCTGTAGCTGACTCCCCAAGTGCCAATGATGCTGTGATGCCCAAGATGCTCACCAGATGGTGGGCCAACATCAAAGCACCCTCTGTCTGGAAGTACACACACCAGCAAAGGTCGAAGAGGAAGTAGCCCAAGCTAAGGCACAGCACGTGTACCTGAAGAGTTGTGTTTGGTGATCCTGAAACACAGACAACAGACAGAGTTTTAAAGCATGGAGGCAAAAAGCAGGCAGGATCTAACACGAGGAAGAGGTATTCACCTTCAGCACTGGCAGGCTGGTATTTTAGACTGTACTGATCACAGCTCAGCTGGAGAAGCCAGGCAAGTTACAATACTATAGTTGTTAGCCCAGCAGCTGCACATGCGTAATGGCCATACAACACGATCATACACTCTGCCAGACTGCAGCTGGGGAGGGCCATTACACTAGCAAAATACCGTACCAGTCTCTCAATTTCTCTGGTACTTTCCATCATAAAGCAGTTCAGGTATTGCAATCATCATTGCTAAAGTGGGCTGGATGCTGAGGTGGTAGGAGAACCTCACTTGGTACCATTACCCATTGGGGGACTTGGGACCACAACTTTCATTATTTACCTGGGTGACTCAAAGGCCAAGGGCCATCAATGAAGCCAATGTAAGCAGAGAGACAGGTAGCAAGGATGCCATGAGTCAGCGTGACCAGCCTGCAGCTCCATTCGTAACTCCGGCGTTTGCAGCGGTGGCAGAACCAAGCGTAGAGAGCGAGCCAGGCAAGCAGACTGCAGGCTACCCGCAGAGGCAGGGGGAACAGCATCCTGTCTCGGAACGGAAAGACAAAAGCATCAGAAGCTCTAGCCTTCGGCAGTATTAGCACAACCCAGTGCAGCATTTCCCTCAGAACCATCCCAGCGCTGAGTGGATTGTGCTGTTTCCTGATGGTGTTGCTCGCTCCCAACAGGTTTTTTTCTGCAGAGGAACTGCAGTCCCTGTGAGGAAAGGCCTACATCAGAGAAGGGTATCCTTTAGAATTAGGGCAGATTCACCACATGGCCACCAGCACACAGACCCCCACCACTGTCACCTCAGCTGTGGGAAGACTCCATGAAAGCGATGACCTTGTAAGGCAGTGAGTTCCTAGCCTGGTTGAACAGAAAACATTCTACAAGTTGGTAAAGCACCTTGGAGGACCTCCCCAACCAGTCTACAATGCAGGACCTGCTGGGAAATGTTTATACTCATCTACACTGCCTGAGGGACAGGCTGAGGAGTGCCACATCCATCTGTAAGGCTTTGATCCAGAGCTACACCTGCCCCTTAATTTTAGTTCCCTGCCCGTATATCTTCATTTGACTGGTCTGCTTGTGTTGCCTCACCTGACCTACTCATCCTGTCATGCTGTTTGCTAGCTTGGTTTCTCCTCTCTTGAAAGAACAAAAAGAAAACCCCAAAACCACACCAATCTTCCCAGTGCAGTGACACCAACTCCAAATAAGTAAAGAGAAACACAAAGGCATTGCCATGTCCTCCTGCTACTGCATTTTAACCTTCTAGCACTAATGCATTTCCAGGACAATTTAGGGGGGAAAAAAAACACTGTAAAATCCCCTTGCCCTCCCCAGGAATACTTCTAGTGGAACAACGCATAGTTCAAGCTTCTTCAGGAGCATGCAAAGACAAAGCTCAGATCAGAACAAAGCACCCCCCAGCAAATGGTGATCAGATAAAGCAGCCCACCACCCTTGGGAGCAGCCAAGGCCCTTTCCCACCCCTGGCTGCACTCCTCAAGTGGCCCTGGCCCACACCTCCCCTGGGCAAGGTGCTGGACACTCCGTCCTCTGCAGTTTGAGAGGAGCAAAGCAAGGTGAAAACCACTCAACTCTCCCAACTGTGGCCTTCATTTCATCATTTCTAGCACCAAGATCTCCAAATCTTTTTGATGCAAAAGGATTATAATCTATACCCATGAAGATTTTTTCAGCAGTATTTTTTATACACTTTCCCTCACTCACTGTGAAAGAATTTTATATTAAAGAATCTCTCAAAAACGAAGACGCGCTGCCAGAACAAAATTACAGTGCATAAGCATCTGTGGAGGACACCGCTCTTGTTGCTAAAAGGCCCCCAAATACGCAACACTGATACCTACATCTATGCTCATACTTAGAATCACAAAATGGTTTGGGTATAGAAGGGACCTTGAAGATCATCTAGCTCTAACCCCCCTGTTTTAGGCAGGGCCCCCTTCCCCTAGACCAAGGTGCTCGCAGCCCCATCCAACCTGGCCTTGAACCCTTCCAGGGAGGGGGCAGCCACAGCTGCTCTGGGCACCCTGGGCCAGCACCTCACCCCCCGCACAGGGAACAATTTCTGACTTAGATCTCATCTAAACCTACCCTCTGTCAGTTTAAAACCCTTACCCCTCCTCCTAACCCCACACTCTCAATAAAGAGCCCCACCCTATCTTTCCTGTAGATCCCTTTAAGCACTGGAAGCCACTCTAAGGTCTCCCAGGAGCCTTCTCTTCTCCAGGCTGAACACCCCCAACTCCAGGCTAATACCTTTCCCTGAAAGGTAAGATGTGCCTCATTACTCCTGAGCATTCAGGGAAGTGCATCAGAAGTTGAGTCATGCTCTGGGATATGTGAGTTTCCAGTTGCACAATGGCAAACACAGTACTGGTCCTGCTGGTACAGGCTGACCAGGGTGCTGGATTCACACCCAGGGCTGGGGAACACCAAAAGAACTACACGTGACGAGGAGTCAAAGTTTTAGTGCCCAACCTTCCTGTTTGGCCTGTTGCAAGTATTAACAGGGATGACTTAGGAGACTGGATAAACAAAACCATTAAGGCGTAATGAGCCTCTGGAACACAGGGAAATTAAATAAGGATGTGATTAACTGGTCTGACCAGGTGTTTCCATTGACATCCCTGGTCCCCGAGGTCCATACACATTTAGAGTCAGGGCATATAAGGCAGGAAGAAGTCTGATGTAACAAAAGGGATAGAGCAGCTGGAGACTGCTAGTAGAAGGAAGACAAATGACCTTCTAAACCTTTTGAGGTATTTTCCACACCTATGCACAAAAAAGATGTTTCTCCATTCCTTGGAAAGAAAGATGGGGGCTACCTTCCAGCTGCACGTTGAAGCTCAACGTTTGTCATTAGCATATACAATATATATTGCACATGTGTATTATATCTGTCCACACACACTGGAAAAAGCAATATCCTTTAAAAACAGCAGTAATTACCACCAGTAGCAATGGGGTGATGAATGAAAGCAGGCTCTATAATAATCACATGCGCCTAAAAACCTACTCCGGCACAGCCCTGCTCTCCCCGAAGGAGCTTAAAAACGCGATGGGAACCCCGAGCAAAACACCGTTATCTTTCTTGCTGCTGTCCAAAGGGGGAAATGGAGGCGCCCCGAGAGCCTAAGCAGCGTGCCCCACACCGCGGGCCCTGCCCGCCCAGCCGACCCGAGCCCGCCAGCGGCCCTGCCCCTCCGGGCCGCCGCCGCCCGGCGCCCCCCGCCCCTCCCGGCCCCGCTCTCCCCCAGCGGCTCCCGCAGCTCCGCGGGGGCCGGGAGACGGAGCCCGCCCGGCGGCTGCGGGCCGCAGGGCCTTCCCCTCGCCCCACTCGGCCCCGGCCCCGCGCACCCACCTGCAGGGACGCGGCTGTGGGGCCGGCCCGCCGCCGCGCCTCCGCCGCCCCCCCCCCCCGGGAAGAGGAAGCGGCGGCCGAGGGGCACCTGCTGGCGGGGAGGAGGGACGGCAAGGGCGGCGGGAAGGCGGGGCGGGGGCGCTGCCTAGGCCGCGGGAGGGAAGAGGCCCGCTGCCCTCCCCGTGCCGGCCTCGGGGGGACGGGTCACCGCCGGAGCGGGGCCCGGCTGCAGCGGCTCGGGCGTCCGCCTGGGGGACCTCGGTTCCTCGCCGGGCAGGTCGTTGCTCGGGGAACGAGGGGCGGGTCACGGGCACGCACGCACAGAGCATCGCTTTAGCCTGCGGGCACGAGAAACGGGCCGCACCCACCCACTTCGACCGTCTCGCGTGTCCCAGGGAGAGCAGGCGCGACCACGGGGCTGCGGGCAGACGCGGGCTTGCTTTGCTCGCACCCAGGTAGCGCCTGATGCGAACCGGCTCTTCTACAGAACTTGCAAAACCGCGTCAGTGTAGCGCCAGCTTCAAGGTACCGTACCCCGTGGGGTTTATCATCCAGGCACTGCACCGAGCGTGCAGCTTCAGCAAGCTAGGGAAGCACAAAGCCCTGCCCTGAACGTACCCTCTCATCCAGTGCTTATGCAGCAGTTACAAAGCCCAGCAGTTTCTTCTTGCTACAAGCATTCACTGCTAAACCACGTATTTTCTCTCTCCCGCCTTCCTCTACAGTCACGGAGTAACAAAATCCAGGGTTTATTGCAGGACATCTGAAGTAGCTTACAAAAATGTGCCTCCAGCCAACACACTCCTTTCATAAATTGCCATCAAAACCATCTCTCACACTCAGAAATATGGTAGGTTTTCCTTTCCTTCACCCTGTCAAGTTTTATCTTTTGAAATGCAGATGGTGGGAGTGGTTTGTCCTGCCTCTTACAGCACTTGCAATAAGCCTGTTTTCGACTGGATATCTCTCTTATCTTACTTTTCCAGTTCAGGCCACGCACAGGTTCCTGTTGCTTCAATGTTCATGCTTCAGCTATTTTAACACAACATCCTCACTAGCATTAACAGTGCATTTGCTTCTCTGACAAATCTTAGGTCTCATCTTGCTTTCCTATACCTATGCCGGACCAGGCACCAGGCCCCCTCCAACAGTCTCAGTAACAACTGAGATGGAGCTGTTCTAATATTTAGCTTACGATAAAGAACGGAGTTAACACAGAACGTTGTAAGTCTAATGTTGACTCACCGTACAGAAACTGAGCTGAGGGAGAACAATAGAGATGGTCACAGAAAAGTTCTCTGAAAGGCCTAACAAGGCAAGGACCATTTAATGACTGAGGTGAAATACAGAGAAGGAGTTGTGGGGTTTTTTGTTCTAGATCATACTAAGTGCAAAACTTGCATCTAGTGAGATCAAGGTGGCAAATTAAATCATCTCCCAGTGGATTGTACCAGAAGTTAGGTGCAGCTTATATACTAATTTTCTTGTTTGCTTTCTGCAGAGTCAGCCATTTAAATAGGCAGGCTGAGTTGCACTGGCTCGTTTTGCCAGCAGATGAACAGCATTCAGCAAAACAGCTTGGGACAGGGACCTCTGCTAGCAGTTATTTGCACACTGCTACTTAGTTTAGTATAGCTATAACCTCCCTCAGCAGTACCTTCTTTCTCCTTGCCTGCTTTCTGACCCTGTTCCAAGGAGAGTTTACAACACTGAAGGGTCACAAAACATATTAGCTTGCCAACACTAGGAAACTTCTTGTCCAAGAATTAAATGGAGATACACAGGAACTGGAAATACAGCAGAGTCCCATATCCTTCTTCAGTGATAGGCCAAGACTAATGCTCAATTTTTGTGACTGTAAAAGCCCTCAAGGATATTTGACAGATAAATATCAGGCACCTATATTAAAAATTTCATTCTTTGCAATGTTAGAAAATAAGAAATCCAATGGGATACGGAGGGCGGAGCCAGATGCTTTTCTAGCATCACATTAGATGTTTAATGCTAAAACTGGTCTTAGAAGAGATGTGGTGCCTGACCACCTGAGGGCACTTATTTTGCTTCAAATCTCAGGGTAACTACCATCAGTTCTGTTCTGCATGCAAGCAAGCTGATTGCACTGGGTTACTGTCCCTCAGCTGAAGGAAGAAGACTTTCCTTGTTGGAAGCCAAGCCCAGGCCAGCTCCACTCCAGACAGCAGAGTCCTGCCCCAGCAGTAGCAGGTTCTCAGCTGGAAACAGCCACTCACAGCAGTGGCTTAGGACATCTCATACCACCAGAGGTCTTTTCATGCTTTCAGTTGCTTCTCCAAAGATAACATAGGCAAACTACCTTCTAACCCAAGCCTTCCACATTGATCATTCCTAGAACGAAACACAGCAACAAAGAGGAAGAGAATAAAAGGCAATCTGGGATGTAGGCCATGACCAGATTTAAGTTACCCTGTGACCTTGTGTCCATCAAGAGCAAACATCTCAGTTTAACAGCCCACTCTTAAATTCTTTGTGATGCTGACCATGACTCATTGGCAAGACAGATTATGGGTACTTTAGTCACAAATCTGAGCTTCAGTTGACTCTCATCTATCCCTCACTCCTCAAACCTGAGCTCCAGAGCATATGGCTCAGCCTGTGCTTGCTTCCCCTCAGCTCACTCCTTCCTGAACTGCATGAAGGGCACGAGCCACAGCTTTGTTAGGGACAACTAGCTTTAGCATGCTCAGGCTACCCTCAAGCCCGTTTTCCTCAGCATTAACTTCAGTCACCTTCTTAAGACCCAGAACAAAATAACATTACAGCAATTGTTTCTTTTTTAAAAAGAGAACATAACTTTATTAGAAGTCTCATCACTCAGAGGAGTTTTCAGAAGAGCACAGCGACTCTAGTAAGAGTTCATACCTCACAAGGCCAGGCCACCAGAGCCATGCTGGCAACCTATCAGGAGTACAAGGCTCCTGTTTTTCTAAACATATTAGCCAGCTAATTTGCCTGCAATGCATTTAGAGGGCATGTCAAAACTTAGGTTACTTCATGTCATTTTTTAATCTCTCCGGACACCTTATTTTAATCCCCAGCCAAGGCAGATATCTGCCCTGAACAGTGCCAGAGTCAGTGAGATAAGAGGCATGGAAGAGCTAGTAAGGCTGCAAAACCTCAGCAGCTCTATTCCCACTGCTCCCCTCCTTCACCCCTACATCAAGGGTGACACCTCACTTGAGCAAGAGCCACACAGGCTGTTTCAGGGGCTCTTTAGCTCCATGAAGAAGCTCTTCTAAACAAGGTCTTTGAAAGCAGGAGGGAAAGGCAGCCAGCCTTGCTAAGCCTGAGGGCAACACAAGGCCATTTGTCTCTCAGCTATAAGCGAGGCTTTTATGGGAGAGTAAATCTCAACTGCAACCTTCAACAGAGGGAAATTCACATTAAAACTCCAGGGGAAATATCAGAACACAATTCTGAGAGGTAAAGAAAACAAGAGAACTGGTCCATACTCTGAGACCTGCTGGTATGGATCAGATGTTACACCGGGATCTGCCTAAACATTGCTGTCACCCATGAAAATGTAGTCACTTATTAGACTTGTTGGCCATGCATTCAGCCTAAGTGGCTTGTAAATGAGCCAACCCCAGATCAGAAAGAACATCCAGTGAGGGCTCTTCTCTACCATCTCTCACAAAATGCCTGATTTTTTTTTAAAGCAATCCAAGGCTAGGTGAACGCCTGCTTATGGAGGTTATTGGCACAAGTCTAATTCTTGACTCTTGTTTGCAAGGGTCTGAGTCAATCCCAGTAAAGTCACACTGCTCTAAGATCAGTATCTGCTTGAATGCAAGTACACAAAAAAAAAAAAAAAAGAGAGAGAAATGTATCATTAAAAACAATGAGGTAAAACATTGCCTCACCTCAAGTACCATCACTTCACACACTCAAAGGACAAGTCTACTATACCACTGCAAGCACATGAATCTTGTTCAGAGGCTTCTATTTAAGTACTTAGTCAAGCACGTTGTCTAACTCCAGGATTAAGGTAAAGTGAGGCTCAGTAAATCTTTGCTAGGTCACACCCCTACTCAGTCCCACTGGCAGGAAGATGGGATTTTTCATATTTGATTTCTGGCTCTACACTGTAAAATAATTCTACCTCCAAAATGATTACAGACCACAGAGGCTGTGCAATTATTCGTTGCAGACTGAATAGGTCTGGCATTGCCACCCTCCTTGAGACTGTACCATTGCTGAAGAATTCAGGGAATCAGAGTTCAGTAGACGTGCCAGATTTTGTAGATTTCCACTCAAACCTCTCTTCTGCCAGCTTTCCCACATTCCTAGCACAGATTCATCTTCTCCAGGGGTAGGGACCACTGCCAGGGTCAGAAAGTCAATTCCACATCACTTTTAGGAGTTCCTTTCACAGGAATAGGCTTCAGTAGCAGGGACCCTAGCCCGAGGGATTGTCATCCACAACCCATTAGTGAGCTGTCAAGTGCCCGTTAGTTTTCACAGGTGCATTCACAGTCCTCAGGCTTGTCCAGGATTGATATTTTTTCAACATTTTCCTCCTGACAAAGCGGCAGATTTCAACCATGAACGCCAAAGATACAAGGTACATGGCCAGGCCTCCAGCTTTGAGAAGCCAGCTGGGATCAGGGGATGTCACCATCATGTACATGATCAGAGCTCCTCCCCCTATTCGCAGCACCAGGAAGAGGAACACAAAGAAGAAATCCACCACCTCTCCCAGGAAAGTGTGGTAACACCCCATCTCCCGCAGAAACCAGCGGATCTGGAGCAGTGGGTTGGTAATCTCGCTAACAAATACGACAGCATTGACTTCCGTAGCAGACTTCCCAAGGCCCAGCACCATGATCATGCCACAGATGCTCAGCGTGTGATGGAACAGCATTAGATCCCCCTCCGTCTGGAAATAGAGGCACCAGCCAAGGTCAAAGATAAAGTAACCCAAGCTCAAGGACAGCACGTGGATCTGAAGAGATGTGTTTGGTGAACCTGAAATGAAAGATATACATAAGCCTGGGATTTTAAAGATGACATTCTTCTACAGCACGGAGCAATACAGGTTCTGAGTATGCCTCTTTCCTCCTCAGTTTCCATCCTTATCCTATCGGCTAGGTGCCAGGCTGGAAGCTTGGATGCCTGGTTCCGCTCTCCCTTCACACTTTAGCCTGCCCAGCAGACCCAGGCAGGCCATCCCATCCTGCCACCTTTCTGCCTCTTACTCTCTCCTCCCTTTTAGAAAGTTGGGATGGAAAGCCTGACTCCCATCAGCAGAACTATCTGAAATTTAATGATAGAAAACAGCAAACAAATGCCAGGAGAAATTACACCCTTAAAGATGCAAACAGCACGTAAGTCTATTCTTAACACATTACTACATCTAAGACTGCAATAAATTCAAGCTGCCAACCTGAAAACTTTCAATAGGTGCATAAATAAAACACACCAAAAAAAATAAAAATAAAAAAATATGAAAAGATTAACAGTAAGAAGTGGTAAGGGCTGGAGAAGCAGGGCAGTTAAATAAAATCCTGCCCACACATAGAGAACATACAGCAAAAGCACTCAGCCCCCCAGTCAACCTGTAACAGAACCAGAGATGTCCATACTGCATGACAAGGACATGGTTAAGATTCTAAACATACCTGTGTGGGTCAGAGGCCAGGGGCCATCCAAGAGAGCAACATAACCAGAGAGGCAGGTGACAATCACCCCGTGCAGCAGGGTGACCAAGCGACAGCTCCACTCGTGGGAACGGTGCTTGTTCCAGTAGCAAAAGCAGATGTACAGAAACAGCCAGACAACAAGGCTGCACGTCACCTCGAGAACGATGGAAACCATCCTGCTGAACACAGGGTGAGGATGTTATGAGCACAGCAGCCCTCTCAGCAAGGGGTGTTCACCCAGGCTATCTGCCTCAGTATCCACCCCAGCCTATTTACAGAAATCCCAGGGGAGGAGAAAAAAAACAAAAAAAAAAAAACAAAACCACCCCCACACACAAAAAAACCCAAACAGCCAAACCCAAAACACACACACAAGCAAACCAAACCAAACAACCCCACCACAACATGCCTTGCACCATTCCCACGAGCACGCTGCTCTCCCGAGACACTTTCCCACCACTGCCCTGTGAGCCTCTCCTCGTTACCAAAGTCCGAATGTGTTTGGGGTCAAGGAAGATGCCGGCACCCACAGACACGCACACCCCCCGCCCCACTCCCCGAGCCAAAGCGCCTCGTCGCCCCCTCCCCGACCGCCGTTCGCCCTCGGGGGACGGTGGACGGAGAGGCGGGGGGCCGGGACACCCCTGGGGGCCAGACCCCCGTCCCCAGCGCGGCCCGGAGCTGGGGGCAGAGCAGGAGCCCCCAGAGCGGCGGTTCCCCCCCGCGTTCCCCAGCTACCGGGCGCCCTCTGCCCGCTCCTTACCCCAGGCCCGCCGCTGCCGCCTGCCCGCCGGGACCGGGACCGGGACCGGGACCTCTCCGGCTCTGTGCTCCCGGCAGCAGACTCCAGGACCGCCCGAGAAGGGAGGCGGTGCCCCGAGAGGCTTTTACCTTCCTTTCCCCTCCCCTCCCCTCCCCTCCCATCCCCGCCCCCGGCCCCGGCCCCGGCCGGGGCAGCTCCTGCCGGGGAGGGTCCCTCCGCGCCCCCGGAGGATGCTCCTCTCCCCCCTTTGCTCTGCCCCGCTTACCTCCCCCGGCAGCGAAAAGGGATCCGAGCAGCCCGGCTGCGTGCCCCGGGGCAGGGAGAGGGCCGTGCTGCCGGGGGCAGGGCGGGGAAGGGGAAACGGGGCAGGAGAAACCAGGACAGGAGTGTGTCAGCCGGGCTGGAACCGCCAGCCAGCCTCAGCCCGCCCGGCTGTACGAGCCCCGTAGGATCCCCAGGCATTAATCTGGCTGAATATTTTATCCTCTGATGAAGGAGAATAAAGCAAGGGAAGAGACGTGTTTGTCCTTTCGTTACTTTTTGTTTTGCTTTGGGTTTTTTTTTGTTGGTTGTTTTTTTTGTTTGTTTGTTTGTTTTTTTAAACTGTCCTGGAGGCCCCTTTCAATTTTTGTACCCGGCTTGACAGTAGAGGCCGGGTGGGTGGGCTTACAGTGGCCACCTTTGTGCCATCCTGTGCCGACAGCAAGAAGGCGGGGAGGCTGACAGGGGCTGGTGAGTTTGGGGCTGCTTAAGTCCAGAGCTGGGGAGTCGTGTGGGCTGTGCAGGGAAATGGGACATGCAACACACAGAACAGGGTGAGTGGGCGAGGAGCTGAGCTGGGGCCGAGCACCAGGGCCGGGCAGAGGCAGGAGTGAGTAACTAGGGAAGGGCTGTGCTTCCTCCAAGCCAGTGAGCCCAGTGTCCGTACCATATAATTTGTTTATTCAGTTTGCTTCAAAAACTCTCTAGAGGAGAATGTATGTCCCAAACAATCCAAGCCTTCCCTACAGACAAAGAACTCTATGCTGGGAGTGAAACCAATCACATGGAGCACGAGAGGCCTCATCTATGGTCACTTAGATCTGTTGTGTGTGCTGCACTCCATAGGATATTTCTCTGTGTTAAAGAAGCTATAAAAATAATATATTAAAATACACTTTTACTTGGGATTGTAGATTATAGGTTGCTTTTATATTTGAGCTAAAACTGCCTGTTTTTTCTCTCCTTTGCCAACATTTTGACCCCCACTCTGAAGAAAGCCCACAGGCTGTGGGACCCCTCCCAGCACAGAGATAGGGGATCCCACTGAAGCTCAGTCACTAGTCCCTTCTGGCATCTGTAAAGGTGAGCCTGAATTTAAACTCGAATACTGAAGGCGTTATATTGGAGTGTTAGGATCGATGCTAATTCTACCAGAACTGTAAGTCCCAAGGCTGTGAGCATCAGGAATGATGAGGGCACTTGATGGGATCATTTGGACACTTAGAAATGCTCAGTCTCAGGCCACGGGGAAAACTGGGAAGGGCAAGGGACAGACCCCTGTTCTCCCAGCTTGCACTCACTCTCCTCACAGGTGGAAAGCAGAGGAGGAAAGAAAGGGGAATGAACAATAAAAGAAACTAAATACCAACAGCAAATTGTTAATTTTCCACCCCTACCCAGTCTTGGGCACTGCTAAACAGTGCTAGACCTCCTACCTGGTCTGCACAGTCACTTGGAGCTTTGGAGTTGCTACAGCAGTTAAGTGGAAAAGCTGGCCTTGATGTCAGTCATTAATAGGAGTGCATCTCCTATATGCACTCCAGAGTCTGTCAACAGAGAGAAAAGTCAAGAGTATTTGTCCATTTTATTTTCTGAGGATGCCAGTTCAGTTGTCTCTGGATGAGAAGAGCAGAAACTAGAGAGAGAGGTCTACCTACAGACAGACCAGAACTTCCAAAGGCATACCATGTCCTTGATTTGATTTTGGAGCTGAGTGGAATCTGGCTCATTTCTCCACAGAGTTTGTGAATGCCAAGATTACAGCTAAAAATAAAAGATGAATGGGGTTGCACCCGTTATATTCACAAGTGATAGGGATGGGACCCACAGAGGTGTTTTAGACAGGTGCTCAGCTGACAGCTGGCTCTTCACTCACTCCTGGGGTTCACGTCACTGATGCTTGAGTCCTAATGGTGGAGGAGCAGAGGAGCTCTTCTCAAGAGAAGGGTAGGGACAGAGGGCATGGAGACTGTTCACATGGAGACACAGAGCATGGAGACCAGCACAAAGACTGCTTTGGTAGCAGATAAGGTTGTTCAGGAGATTATGTGAGTTCTTATAGCCATTGTGAGGCACATCTGCTTGTGAACAATTGCTCCCTGCGTTGTGTATTTATGGCTGAGGGAGATGACTCTTAGTCTTGGAAAGCTGGAATTTCCTGCTCTGTGTATTTTTAATCCCTTAGATGCTCCTGTGAGACTGGAAGTATTCCTAGAAGACAGCGGAATGAAGACCTTACCTTTCCAGCTGTAGATTTTTGTGAAATAAACAAGCTGCTAGTGTTTGTTTTCCTATTCAGGACCAGTTTATCAATAAATCTGAGAGACTTATTATTGTGTTTATAAACTTTTCAGTGGAGATCAACTCTTGTGGTGTGTTTGCACAACACCTGACACAGCTTGGCTTTGATCTCAGCTGCAATACTAATGTGCAGGTACCATTATTCAGCATTTAATTCATTGTCATTTCCCTCCCAGATTTCAGAAATAATATTCCAAAATTTATGCAGGGCTTCTTCTGTGGGAACAAATTACTCAGAGGAATTTCTGAAAATTAAATAGAATAGTCCTTGTCAGTTAACAGCCTTTGTATCTTGATGTATCTTCTCTGTACTGTAAGAGTGTGTATATGTACAGTAACTTGTAAATATATTATTGTAAATAGTTACCTGCCTTTCACAACTTTGTTTTTGGCCTCTTTTGAGAAAGAGACTCACAAATCTCTGGGAGCTTTTACCAAGTGATTAAGTAGACTATCAACTGACTCTGAAATCAGTATCCAAGTTACAGCTCAGATACCAGGTACAGGATTAATGCAGGAAATACAGGGTAAAATTTGCAGGCTAGGTTATGAAGGAAATCAGAATGGTCACTTCTGAGCTTTTAAGTAATTGCTTATCATCCATGAAATAACTCAAGATTTTTCACAATAGAAATGAGCTGGAAACTAGAGCTTTCCTGAGGGTCAGTGTAATAAATGTCTTCTATGATGGCTGGCAGCAGAATCAAGTGTAGTGTTCATCATTCACAAACTATGCTATTTAGCACAAATTGAGGACTGAGAGAAGGGAAGGATTATCATCACCAATGACTAATAGGCGTTAAGTTCAAGACCACGGCAGAAGTAAAATAAGATAAGGTGTCCCAAAGGTACAGATCAGTGGTTTAAATTCATTCTTTCTATCTGCTAATCTTTAAATATTCATAATAGCCAACATTAAAAAAAAAAAAAAAGTAAAAGAGAGAGAATGTCCTTGTTTTAGCAGTGTGTCATCCTGTGATGCACTTGCTTTCGTTATGTAGATTATTAATTTTAAGGATATCTATATTTTAGGAGAGGGATGATGGAGCAAGATCCCTTCATGACACTTGAACCTCTTTTTCAAAAGGAACTGGCTTTGATTAAGGACTGTAAAAATATAGCTGAAGAAACTAGAAGCTTCTTAAGGGCACTTTGTAATTACAGAGTGACAGCCAGCCACCCTGCTTCATCTCCGGCCTGGGCTGCTGTTTGGTCAAAATCCAAATCCTGCTGACTTTATTCATCACACTCAGTGAACAGTCATGTGCAAATCACTTCTCAGGCTGGCATGAAAAGAGACTGCTTCATCCTCCTCTCATAGTGCTGGCCAGCCCTCACAGGAGCTCGAGTGAGGTGTTTCAAGGAAAGGCCTGAGAGGAAAGGCAGCTCCTTGAGGGAGGGGTTATGAATTTGCCAGTCACCACCTACACTGCTCCTTTAGGACTTGCAGCATCTCTTCTCCAAGGGCACAAGCCCTCAGCAAAGCACCTGGCAGGGTTCAGCCGTGGCAGCTATGATTGAGTCAGCAAGGCGCGTTGGCTCACCTTAGTACATTGAGGGGTTTATGCCATCCCAGTTAGAGACAGGAAGGGAAAATTTCCTCCCAACCACTTTATCTGCATACGAGTACAGGTCAATGATTTGGTTTCTGAATGGATTTTTTAAAAAAAACTATTTCGGAATTGTAATTTTCACGTAAAAGTACACTCTTTTTCTAATTTTTAGACCAGATAAGAGAGAAGCACAACTCTGGAAAGGTTTCTTTCCAACAAAATACTGACGTCTTTTAGTTGCAAAACAGATTTCTGCCGTTTCTCCTACGTTCCTGTTTCTCCTACCCGCCACCATTTTAGTACAGATCCCATAGTCTCATCCCGTCAACCTCCCAGCCAGTTTAACTCATCTACTGATGTGAAATTAATGGAAATTAATCATGCAAAACACTTAAATACACTGTCAGTCCCAATTCTCTACCCATTAACAAAGATCTTGCGTGTAAATAAAAACTGTTAGCAGTCCCTGGTTGTGTATACACGAGCGCATTCATTGCTAGAGATCTTCCACTATTAGCGTTCAGCAGTGATGACACAGGCTTTTCCAGCAGTACAGAGCCAGCGCTGGAGGGGAGCTGAACAGGTAGTGCTGCTCTTTGTCTGTAGAACTTGCCTGGGCTCATTTGGAGAGCCCTCCGTTAAAAGCAATCCCATGGAGGCACATGGCAGGGGTAAACTCGCGCAGGGAGGTCATGCTGGCAGGATCCGTCCCTCCAGCTGACCCAGCAAACAACTAGCTGAGTTTAAATGCAGCTGATGTAGCACAGTGGTTTTAAAATACTGTTGTAATGTCATTCTCTTGGCTGGAGGAGAACTTGTTTTTCCCTCAAGAATCCTGTGATTAAGGCACGCCATAGAAAAAGCTGTCATGTTTAATTCCTGTCACTCTAGCTGTAGAGGACAGTTCTTGCAGGGAACTCTCTGTTAGAGACAGTAACATGAACCTTAAGAAATGTGCCAAGAAAACCCACCCGTGCAGTTGTACCAAACCTGTCGCAGCTTTGCTTTAGAATTATTGTATTCAAATATTTAATTTCACATATCTAAATATAGTTGGAAAGCAATAAAGAACAAGGCTTGAAATCAACCCTCCAAGCATGTAAGAAAATTCAATTAATGTCAGAAAGAAGGGCCACAGCAAGCAGGAGAGTTAGAGTAATACTTCCCATCTACATTTCTTGCTTTCCCTACATAAAATGCTTTTTAAATCACAACAGATTTTGTTGAAAAAAATGTTTCATTTAACTTTAATGTTTCCACTGAAAAACAGAAATCATGAAAGCATTTCAGTTAGAGGTAAATGAGTGGTGGTGGGAAATCCAGGAAACAGAAATACAGTTTTCCTCTTTTTTGTGTTAGAATATCTTGAAAAAACTTTAGTATTTTTAAAAAAGACATATTTTCTTAATTACCATTTTTCAAGAAATGTTACCTTATCTTTTCCAGTTGTGTCTCATTGTTATCAGTGTCTGCTATAACAAAACCTCATTCAAAGCAACAAATGCGGTTCTATATACAATGTGCATGTGGGGCTCATTACTTTGTGTGAAGGTAGCTGATAAATTCTTAAGGTCCACAGACTCCCTATAGAAATAATTCATCACACAGGACTCGATGAGTAGGATAAGAAACAATGGATCAAATATTGTTTTCCCCAGAATTGACAAAGGATAATTTTTACTTTTTAAAAAAAAGCTCACATTTACCTAAAAAAAAAAAAAAAAAAAAAAAAGCCATAAGAAAAAAAGCCTACTGCTCAAAAATGTCTATTTACAATCTGTGAATCAGATACTCTAGTTCCACTGAATTAATTACTTGTACCCATAGACAACCTGACCGGGAATATGTATTACTCAAGTCTACTTTAACAAAATTAAATATCTACCACTTCTCAGTTGGAGAGTTGCAATGTAACAACAATTTCCCTGGTGATATGCTGTGAAAGTTGAAGTTTCCAACACTTTGGCATCTCATGAAATTAAGAAACACTTGCACACACAAACCTCAAGATTCGCACCTGAGCAATACAACTTGTCCTCCCAGGAACAGAAGAGCAGGCTGCAGAGAACAGGCAAGCTACATTACTTACAGTTCAGAAAATTCAGTACACATGCACACCTCTATTCCAGAGAGGTTGTTTTCATTTGGTATCAGAACAAACCCAAAGGATGAATAAAAGAAAGAAGGGTAGGTCAAGAGTATTCCTTGTCCCATCAAATCAATAATAACTGCTTTCGTGTTCAATGGAGTCAGAAGTTTACCCAAGGTTTTCAAACAGTGACGTCCTCCAGTGGGGCAATGAGGCCAGCTGTGAACAATAACAAGACCTGGACACCGATTTTGCAAAAGACAACAATTTTTTTTAAGGGAAAAATAAGAAGGCTCTAAGATAATTAAAAAAGAAAAAAAAAAAAGGGGGGGGAAAAAAAAAGATTAAAAAAAAAGAAGCACCTTTAGAAACAGAGCAGAATAGCTCAAAGCAAAGCAAGTTTGGTAGTGGATAAAGCACAGTGCCATTGACCTTGGAAGTCTATTGAAAACCAAGGCTCACATCTAGACACAGGTCTCTGGTGAAATGAACTGGGTAACCTCGGCTCAGTTTGGGAGTTTATGGTATGTGTGCGTGATAGTAACAGCATGATAGACCCTTCTTATGGGAAGCTCTGAAATGAGCGAGGGGGAAAGGAGGGTTCTGACATAGAAATCCTTCCAGATTAGAGATTGCCAGGCAATCCATTGTGAATGCAGAGATTTGCAAGCAGAGGGCAGTGTTTCATGCTAATAGTGCTAAGCAAGTGCTCATTCTTGAAGTGAATGCCTGGAAGAGTATTATTATAATGTCACTGTTGGCATTGAGAATCCTTGGGGAAGATCAGCTGCAGTTTGAGTCCCTGGAGAGTTCTGCTGCTATGGGCTTCCTTAAACAAGACCTTCATTTGGCAGCATTTTGAAGGCACTGGAACGCCAGATGTTGCCCCAAGCATTGTTCCTAGAGAAGTTGGTCCATAGCTGGAAGTCAGAGCTCCTTTAACACATGACGGAGGAGTCATCTCAGTGGAGGTAGGTAGGTTGATTCCATCGGTACCAAGATCTGTTTGCAACACAGGGAATCAGAGCTACAATTGCCATTTTGTTAATGGTTTCCCTTGAAATAAAAATCATTATTATTTTGTTTGTAATCTGATTTCAACTTGTCAGCCAGCAAATGATCCTCTGATCCTATAGGAAGCTCAGAGCAAAACCCCTGTATTTCTAAGCAACATCTTCCATCATGCTCATGATTTCACATACTACCTGGCTGTTGGACTTCCTCCAGGTAAGAGGAGGTCTGATTCATGGTGCAGGATGATCTATGACTCAGAAAGCCCAGCAGCTATGGGTAACGCCCTCTGCTCTCTGTTGCCTTCCTACTAACACAGCATCCTTGATGCGATGTAGCAGAAACTACAAGTGCAGAGAGGCCTGAGCAGCGCAGACTGTGGCAGAGGCATGTTCAGTGAAATAATCAGAAGGGCTCTGAGCCCTTCTGTGTGGCTTAATGCTTTTGTAGCATCTAAAGGCAGGGCAGAGGGAAATCTTTGTTCATCTGCCACTGTGGAATAGTTACTCTGCAGCAGAGCTCTCTGGGTGGCACTGCAGGAAAGAAAACTGGCTGTGAAGGGGGGTTATCCAAGCAGAAACAGCAAAATAAGCCTTCCTCTGCTTCCTCCATATGAGAAATTAGTTTAGGACAGTCTTTAGGACCGTGGTTATTTTGTTTCTTTCTTTTTTTTTTTTTTTTCCTTCTTCCTTTTTTTAACCAGCACAGTTTTTAGGCAAAACTTGATTTACTATTTGTCTTCAAGCAGAAAAATAACCATATCCCAAGAAGCTTCAAGTTAGATATGAAGCTTCATATAAGAACGTGCCACCACACAGCTCCACATTGCTGGAGTCTCTAAGGGCTTGCACGTTCTTCTCCAAGGTCCCATTGCTTTTTTCCCAAGCCCTCTGATGCCCTTGCCAAGGAGCAAGCTGTGGGCCCCCACTGCCTTACCCTGAAGAGTTGAAACCGGACGAGTTCATTGCAGCTTTGGAGTTGCTCTGGGCTGTGCTGGGGCTGCTGGCATGGAGTGCACTGCCAGGGGACGAGGGCCTGCTGGAGTTCCCTGGGGAGCACGATGATGTTACTGTGTACCAGAGAAAGCAGAATAAGACTGGGATCTCCTCTTCCTGCTAAGGACAGCCCAAGCCTAAACGCTTCACCATATCTTGTACCCACCCTATTGTTCATCTAATTCACTGTCAGACCTGCAGCAGCAAGGCAGAGTCTGTGCCGCAGCCACGGAGAAGGTGGGGGTCCCCAGGACTGCGCTCTCTGTAGTTCTTGGTTTCTATTAATGTGAATCCCACTTCTTAAAGTGAATCTGGCAACGTTCTGCTGAAGAAACGCAGTAACTTACCCCCAGGCACTTCTCTTGTTTGGCTTCTAGGTGTGCCTGGCTCCCAAACCTGAACACCCCAGTAAAATTTGCCTAGGATTATCCTGGGAATATTATATTGCCCAGGAAGCTTTCCATGTCTTTGGTGCAGCCAAGAGAAAGACTTGGCTGTTCTTATCCCTTGTATACTAGTTATGTGGGCATACCTTCCCTGGCAAAACCCAAGGGTCTTATTAAGAGTAGCCTGCAAATGTGACCTAGAAACCAAATAGTCAGAGAGCAAGGGCAGAGGAAGGCAGGAAGGAATGGTGAGGGAGGGAGGTTCCTCAAGGCTTACCAGTCCCAGGCATGGTGCTGTGCACTGGATTGACGGAGAGGGGCCCCAAGGACCCTGAGGTAGAGACCTAGGGAGAAACAGAAGCAAACAGTAAGCATTTGGCACTGTGAGGGTACAGATCACAAAATGCCACTCCTTTCACATTCCCTTTAGAGTCTGCTGGCTCCCAGGCAGGTTTCTTATCTACATCCGAGGCTCCCACAGGTATTTCTATTTATACTCTAGTGTAGAAGCAGTGTTCCTATGACCATGGAAAGAAACCAGAATGGGTATTACATGTGCTTGACACTCTCTACATAGGTCTAAAATTTATGGATCAGCTATGGAAAAGCCTGAAATTATCAAACACAAGCCAAACTTTCTGGAAGTCCCAGAGATCCAGTTGGTAGGAGCTGCTGTCCTTTGGATGTTTCAGACTGGATGTTCTCAGTCTGAAACTTCCCAGCTCACTCTCATCTTGGGCACAAATAATCTCTTTTCCTTTAGGGAGTTCTTGATGGGTGAGAATTCTCAGGTGACAATTAGTAATTTGGTGGCTACAATCAAAGCGAGCCTGGGGCATTTGCTGTTCAGCTGTGATACTTTAACTACAGGCAACACGTTGTTCGAATGACTGATGAGCAAAGGCATACTTTGTACAACACACTCACAGGAAAATTATTCACCAAAGCTACTGCTTTAAAAATTCATGGCTTGTAAACAGCATTTTGTGTTTGTGACTGTAGCCCAGATGTGTTGTGCAACAGGTGACCAAACTTCTTGTGATCTTTTCCTGCCTTCTGATGGATAATTCTGAAACCCAGAAGATCAAGATAAAATACTGCTTGCGAATACGTACTCGCCCTCCCACTCACATGTGCACCGGTACTAACACCACCGTAGGGAGGTTCCTGCTGCTTTTATATGTGGAAGCGGCTAAGCAACTATTAACTAGCAGACATACAATTGTAGCTTTTTATCCACAGTAGCCACTGACAGTAGATTACAAGGACACACTTTCACCTACGCTCACGACAGTTTCTCTTTTCCTCATCCTTCCTGGCAATGAAAATATGCTTGCCAAAATGTGAATGTACAACATGAGAGAAGGACATTTAGCACTACTAAAGTGTATTCTGCATTTCTGCACAAATGTTAAACAACGAACTGATATGTAAATGGTTACCATTAGGTTTCAGAGTTAACAACTAAATTGACATGAGTGGACGTAACTTTCATCCATGGAATGCTGATTCCTACTCCGATAACTTGGAAAGCTTATATTTACCAATCTCAGGATGAAAAGTTTTGGGCTAGCACCCCTATTTGGATAAATTATCCTACAATTAAACTGACTTATACCTTCTAGGAAACTTGTATTTCCTTTCTATTGCTTTCATGAATAGAATAAAAATAAACATTCTGTATTGCGGGCACGAGATTCCATTCGAGCTGGGATGTAGAGTACGTGCCCAATCCACAGCTAGCCCAGCTGTGTGTCTGCAGACTCCTGCAGGTGTAGTCGTGCCCTGGTCTGTGGAGTGGGCTTGTCAGCAGTTCAGGGACTTGTGTGTACCAGAAAGTGTCCTGGCCTGTTGTGTTTTCTAGCAAACCCTGCTGCATCCCCCCACCCTTTCCCCTTCTTGTCTGGGATGGCATGTAGAACTCCTTATTCCAAAGTCTCTCACCAGTCTGGAATTGTAGATAGGTGATTTGATGGGGGATGGCATTGGGCAGCTGATCCGTTTTTCTTTCTGGCGCCGGTTGCAGAACCAGACCCGAACCACCTCCTTTTCCATGGAGAGCTGCTCTGCTATCAAGGATATCTCCTCTGAACTGGGCTTGGGGTTCTGCTGAGAAAGGGCAAGAGGTTAAAGAAAGCCCCAAAGAGCTATAACTTACAGCATCAATGTATGCTTCTGCTGCTGAAAAGGCAGAGGACAAGGGTGGGGTTGACTGTAAACTGGGTAGGGGAGAAATTTGCTTCTAAGACAAAGGGTAAATATTTGGGTGAGAGATTATTTTCTGTGAACCAGAAAGCACCTCTGATTCAACATCAAATCTCATGGAATCAGTGGGGGAATGAGTCACAGTACCTGGCCCTGTTATTGCATAAAGCACCATGCTCTTTGATCTTAACAGCACCCTAAATCATTGCTTGGGGGAAGCTAATGACTGGTGGTCTTCTTATCACTACACAGGACACACAAGCTCTCAATGCTGTTTGTACGCCTACCTCCACCATCTCAGAAAAGCCATTTCTTCTCTTTCTTCCTCCATCCCTTATTTATAAAGGGAAATAATAGTACCTATCCTTTCTTCTGAGTCACTTGTTTCCTGGTGCATTTGGCAGCATTTAGCTCTATGGGTTTTGATCTGAGTTGGAGACTTGAGGGTCAAAAATACCTAGCACAGAGGTGCCAAGACAGTTTTCCCATTACAAAAATTCCTCATACAAGCTAAAAATGAGCTGCCCATAATGATCTGACAATGACTGTTTTTTGTTCTCATTAACAGTCTTAGGAGGGAATTTTTATATGATTAGAGGGAGAAGCCAAGAAAAAATGAGGGCTGGTCAAAACCAGTTTTGATGAAAAATTTTCAATGCACAATTTAGTCGTACTGATTCAAAGCTCTGTTTGTTCTCTCTAGTGATTATTCTTGAAAATCTTGATGCTTAAAAAGTAAAAGACTCCACTTCTGAAATGATTCAGCAGCAATATCTGTGGTCTCACAAGACCTGCTTAATGGGGCATCTGTTTCCATGCTGAGCTATGGCCACACAATTCCAGTGACATAGGCCTGCAACTCCCAAAGAGAAGTGGGTGCAGGAGATGACCTCTGGCTAGGATGATAATGGGAAGGTGTGGTGATGAAACTGTAATTCCTTTAAAACAACATTTACCAAGGAAATAGTTGGTTCTGATTTCTTTGTTTTTGACACTTTTCCTGTTAACCCCTTCAAGCATTTTCTAACCTGCTATCAAAACAAACAAAAAAAAGACATCTCTCTTTTTGAAGATTCAGTGCTACTATGACATAGCAAATGCCAAACTCAGAATTCACAACACAGTGAAAAGTTTTCCCCTCACGTCTTGAAATCTTTTCTCCAGTGTGGAGCGAATGTTGGTCTCAATGCTGGTTCGCTTCTTTCTTTTCCGTCCAAACATTTCATTCACTGAGGGGTAGGAATTGGGAGTGCTCATGGAAGAATCCAAAGGAGCAGATTCTGGGGAAATAGGAAAGGGAAAAGAAATATTCAAGAAGTTAACAAGCTATTTTCATTCCTAGACCCTCTATGTGAATTGTGGCACTGCCTAAAATAAGTAAAATGTTCCTACATTGTGGATCCTTGCTCTGATGATGATTAAAATTGCTCCAATAGTCCCAAATCCATCATTTATCTTGTCCAAATCAGGAAAGAATTATGAGTGCTAAAATTTTAATCAACATAGCATTTTTCCTTTTTCCAGCTTGATTTTCAGCCCGGTCTGATGGGGAGTATGCATTTTCCAATTATTTAATTTCACACAGTTAAGGATGTTGACTTAGGCTGCTGGGATCAGACCTCATGTAGCTGAGACACCTCCTGACATGAGGAGTTGGTCAAACACGCAACTCCTGAAGGGCTGGGGACACGAAGGGCACATGAGACTAATGCTATTCCTACAGTGGTTTGCAGTCAGCAGAGGACACCAGCCCAATCTTGCTGCTACTGGGGATTCCCCTTGCAGCGATATCTTCCTTTTCTAATTACTGCTCATGGGCTGCTCTCTGAGCACTTTAGGATGAGTCCCTTCCTATTCTTTCCAGATTACACAGGGAGGGACTGAATGGTCTAGCCCAGCGATTTGCCTTAGGCCATGCAACAGAGGAAGAGGGATGCAGGGACTGCCCCCCATGTCAAATGGCTATGTGAAGCCGGTACTGCCAGAGAGAAAGGGCAGATGTGGTTTGATATCTTGGCTGCTATTCCGCTGTGTGATACACAGTGAAAAGCAGTCTGATACCAGCTCAGCCATGAATCTGAGAGGTCTTAACTCCAGCTTCAATTTTCCTGGCTTTTACTGGAGGTCCCTAGGTGGTTCCTCTCATCCTGACCAAGACTGGTGGCATTTCTGCAGATGATGTCACTTACCTGCGTCACTCAGCCACTTCTCCAGCAGGGGTTTGAGCTTGCACATATTCTTAAAGCTCAGGTTGAGAGCCTCAAAGCGGGAAATGGTGGTCTGGCTGAAATCATTGCCATAGAGCTTCCCCATGGCAAGTCCAACGTCTCCCTGCCAGAGAAGATCCAAGTCACAACATGAGTTCAGAAAACCCCCTCACAGGTTCCTGCTGTCAGACCACCTCTCAGGCTGCTTCCAGAATAGGTTCAGCCTTGTTTCCATGACCTTCGTTGCAGAGAAAGTGACTACTTTTCCCATGGAAACCTGCCCCACACCCCTAAGCCTTTGTGTACTGGAGAAGGTGCAGATAATGAAGTCATGGTAATGAAGTATTAGGAAGGGTTTGTCTCTTCGTGTGTTTGGAAGGTGATGCTCTAAAGAAAGCCAAACTGTATCTAATCCAGCCTTTCCTCCATCCAAGCCTCTGCCTCAAATTCCCCCAGTTCAACATGTCCACATCACAAGGGACACTACCCTTCCCATTGATGAGGCTGCTCACCTGTGTGAACCCCAATTTAATTCGCCTTTGTTTGAAAGTCTTAGCAAACTTTTCCAGCTCCTCCAGGTCACTGGGTTCCTCAGATGCTCCTGAAGGAGTTAGGTGCTTTGCCACTTGCAAATGCTGGGGTACATCCAGGTGGGGTTCAACTGATGAGCCAGGGAGTCCAGAACGGCCCACAGCCTGTTAAAACAACAAAAAAGATTCATGGAGTTACAACAATAGAAAAGTACACCATTTTCTTTGCCATTTGCCCTTAATGAAGCAGCACTTTTTGTAGATGGGTGCTTCTCAGGGTGGGATTCTATGTTGAGGCAAGTTACCTGTGATGCCAGGCTGGGTCCTGGCTGGGAGAGGAGAAGGCTGCCCTGTTGCTGAGGGAAGGAGAGGATGTTTGGCTGCAAAGCTGATGAGAGAAAGAGAGACACATCTGATCAGACCAGCGCCTTCATATGCACTGAGGCAGCTGAACATCACTCTGCACTGGAAAGGCTCATGAAACTATGAATGGAAAACATTAGCTAGCTCTTGTTCAAAATATGAGAATTCCAGCCATTACAAATGTGGATGGCTTTGAGTTGGATTATGAGAAAGGAAAGGTTCTTTTCATAGCTTTTTAGCCTGAAAGGTATTATTATAATAATGATATAGGTAAAATATCTCATCCACTGATCCCTGCATTGTAGGTCATTAACCTAAGGGTGAACCAGGGCACAGTCATTTTACATAGACATCTAACTTTGATTTTAGATGCCAAGCAGCAGAGAATTTGATACATCCTTAGTGGTGATCTCTCCCGGTACTTAATCATAGTAGCTGTTAAAAAAATGTGCATCTCATCTCCAATAAAAGCTTTCTGACTCCAACTTTCAGCCACTTGATCTTGTTAAAAAAGAAAATCCTGATCCTACAGTTAATCTCATGAGCCTACTCACTCTGCTTTCTACTATACATTTAATTTTGAAGTGTCATTTTGAAGCCATCTGACCCTTTCTTTTCTACCCTACTGTATTTCAAATAAATTGAATTTTTTGGGGAATATATAAGCTGACACAAAATGATGGAAGGACAAAGGAAGAGAAATATGTAAAACTAACAAAAACTAGTATTTATGGAGACTGCATAATTGTTCAGTTGACAAACTGCCAAGTACAAGCCTCTATCTCTTACAGGGAATGTCCTAAAGGATTAAGTAGCAACTAAAGCAGTGTAGTCCCCTAGAAATGTAGTTAGATTCAAGTCTGTTGCTGGTGAAGCCTATAGAATTTAGTGAGGATTTATAACCTTTCTTGAAACAGTCAATATATTCTATTGATTGTAACTGACAGTTATAGGGAAAACTATAGAAATTTATGGACTTCTACTAAAAAAAAAAAAAAAAAGGAAAAAAATATCTCCAGAATCAATCACTCCCCCCTCTCTCTCTTTCTGTCTTTCCTTTTTAAATTTAGGTCTGAATGTGCAGGATCCCATTTATTTATTTAGATTGGTGTTTCAATAAGCCTTCTCTAATGCTGGAACAACTTTGAATTTCAAATGCAGGCTGGTAATGAGGTGCACATTTTTAACAGTGAAGGTAATTAATCACTGGAATGGCTTGCCTAGGGACATGGCGGATGCTCTGTCATTTGGAGTCTTTAAAATCATGATTGAACACCTTTGCAAAAGCTAAGCTCTAGCTCAGATGAAAATTATGGACTGGATTCAGGATTCACAGGTTTGACAGCTGATGAAACCAAGGCTGTGTTTTCATAAGATGAAAACTTCAGCAACAATAGTTTGGCTGCGGCATTCCCAGCATCTACCTGGCTGATTGTTTCTACCTTTACAGCACAGAGCTCTCACTCCCTTACTCAAGTGTGCCAGCATTAGCTGTTTGAAGGGCTGCACAATGAATCAGACCTGGAAATTCATCCGGCTTAAAACCAGATTTAAAACATGAAAACCAAAACAAAACGCATGTCCTCTTAGAAAGGTCAAGCCCACAGCCAAGTCCCTTTGGCTATGAAATCCATGAACTGATGTACCCATCAATGAGAACTCAGGAAACATTGAGGGTGCTCCCATGATGGCCTGAGGGACAATTTCAGGAATATTTTGTGCATCTCTTTGGTATGAAGAACACTCCACCTGTATCTGTACCAAACAACTACTTCCACAAAACCAATCTGTGCTTTCACTTTCACTCCTGAGTGGCTGTGCAAGCACACAGCAAAGGGTCATTAAAACTTGGCAATCATCTATTCAAATGGAAGTGCTCTTGCGCAGAAAGCTGGCTACTGGCCAGGATAATCCAGTCTTTATCAAGTCTGGAACCAAAAGGGGTCATGGCCAAATAAGTGGCCATCTGTTGAAAGGGTTACAGCTGCCAAAGGAAGTCACTTAACAGAAGAATCTCTAACTCAATAAGAGGAAGCAAGTTCTGTTTTGCAGTATAATGATTTTCCTATTATACATGAATAAAAGTAGTCAGTAGGCAATAGATTATCCTGACCCTGTCATTGCAGACTAACTAAATTCTAGATTACTGGTAAATACACATAAAGTAGTTTCTTTATACATCACTCAGCATCATTTAGCAGAAAGAAGTTTATATACTGTCAATGAGAAATAGGTTTCCCACTTGCCTACAATACAGGTTTTCTATTGGAACATATATACCAATGGATTCGAGCTGCAGAGATTTTAAGTTTTTAATTCTGAATTTTGGTTCATATGGAGGGACTTCCGTGCTGGAATAAATCAAGAATGTGAGCAAAGGACCCAAGTCCCTTTGCATCTGTCAGGTTATGGATCAAAGCCTACATTTGTCTGTCCAGAAACATCATTGAGCTTCATCAGTAGCATGCCTGTATCCTTGTTGTTGGAGAAATTACATAAAAAAATATCAGCAGTAAAAATAGAAATACAGGGAATTTCTCAAGCACTGAGTTCATTCCTCAGTCCTTTCATCCCTTTCATGAAGCTGGTTACACTGTGTTTAAGAAGTAGTTAGACCTCCTGTCCTCTCCTGCCCCATGGCATGGAGTGAGATTTGGGAACAACCACTAGCAACTTCAGACCTCTCAGCTCTCATCCCTGGATAGGTTAGACCTGTTTGTTCTAGTGCCAGCATCATCCTCCTGCCAGAGAAGCTCAGCTCCTTCCCTGGATATGCTCTTCCTCTGAGGTACTTAGAGAGATCAACTCGACATCTCATCAGTTTTCTGGAAGAAATGAAGAGTACTAACCCAGCGAGGCTGGGAGCTCAGGCAGGCTGGAGCTGCTCCCCAAGGAGCAGACTCCTTGCTGGTTTGCTGAAATCCAAGCAGATGCTGTCCTGAATTTCAGAGGTGGGATCTCTACCAAGCCTGCAGAGACTGGCCCCAAGGTGGCACTCTTGGTGCACATAAGCCACATGTGCCAGAAGCATCTCCAGAGTGGGACTGTTACTGGAGCTACTGGATGTGTACCAGGTCATACCAGGGGTGGGAACCAGCCCAGGGAGAAAATGTAATGTAGCAGGGGAACAGACACCATCATGCTGGGAAAACGTTAACAGACCAAGTTAAAAGCAAGTCATGAGAAGGGAGGTTTTTCCCAGATAGGTATCTGCTTATAACAATCCCCTGTCAGCTTTCATTGCTCTTACCTTGTTGCCCGGCCTGAGACTGAGACAGAAGAAACTGGGGAACTGACTGCATGTGACCAGGAAGCAATACAAGCTGCTGCAGGGTGTGAAGAGAGCTCATATCCTATGGGAAAAAGCAAAGGGAACAACAAAGGTCTTCACACAGCATCACCTCTCATAAAGTTTCCTTGCTCCTTCACCTCGTTCACACTTTTCATTTAACTGCCAACACACCAGATTTGTGTAATTCATGCCCTGGAGAGCAACAGATCCAGAGGTAGTCCAGGATCTCAAGTTTTCAGCTGTATAAGAAGGATTCTATGCACACACAGATACCCACATGGAGAAATGTCTACTTTTATATGAAAAAAGTTGTTGAAAATTACATTTTTGAGGCCCCAGCAGTCAAAACCTTGTTGTTAGAAGTAACAGAGAAGGCTCTTGGATTTCAGTTTCTTCCAGATAATGTATTTTCAGAGAGTGAACTCCCTAAAATTTCACAGGAAAGTGCAGCTGACTCCATCTCACGAACACTGAGAGCCTACTTTCCACGGAAGGCTGATTTCTCAGCCAGCCATGAGCAGAGATGGGAAATAAACAATGCCCAACAGCACCTGATTCTCTGCACCAAGAGCAAACGCATTGCAAGCGGCACAGGGACCAGATCAAAAAATATTTTCTGTTCTTTGCCATGTAGCTGCCAGGAATTCCCCACCCTGCACTGAGCAGAGCAAGCAATAGGTACTGAGAGATGAGGATTACATCCTAGTGCTATTTCACATTACTGGGGTCCCAGCCCCAGGTCCTTCACTGGGGTTAGGGAATAAGAGTTTGTATTTGCTTGAGATAGACACAAAAAAAAAATGCCCCAATAAGACCAATTCTCTTTAGAGGTACATTTTTGAAGGAACTCATTAATCAATAAGATGAACTCTTTGTTTTGAAGATTTGAGGAAATTGAACAGTCCGTCAGTTGTGTAAGGGATCTGAGTACCATGCAAAAGAATGAGGGAAGAGACTACTGAGCAGCTGTGTGGCGTTCTGGCATCTAACTCCCACTAGAATTTAATAAAAGTTAAGTGTTAAACTCCAATTTTTTACCTTAGAGGAAAAAAATATAATCCCCTCAAGAAATCCATTTCTTCTCTGGTGTAAATCAATTTGAGGCAACATATTCAAGGATGGCTATACTGGTTCAGATCAAGAGCTAATCTAGCCTAGAATCCTATCTCTAATAATGGCATTAACAAGACATTCATGAAAGAGGAAGACCAGGGTGAGCATATCTAACACTTCCCCTTGGTGTTGTCTCAGCTTCCAATTATTTTCAGTTCAAGGGATTTTCTGAGTATGGTGTGGTTTGTCTACTTAGTAAACCCTCACAGGAAATCTCTTCCAAATTATGTGTCCAGTCTACCATTGACCCCATGTAAATCTTTCTGCAGAAAAGAGGCTGAGGAGGAAGCTGACTTTTTCCAACACAGATTCACTTTTCCAACTTAGTGTCCATCATACCCTCAAGTCTTCTTCTACCACAGTCAAAAGGCATATGTAAATTGGCAAGTCTCTCAAAACCATCCTCTTCCCCGGAGGTTCATTAACTGGTGCCATTTCAGACTTCTGGATCCTTGAAGCAGCAGTCACTTACCCCTGCGATTTGGCTTCCGGGCATCATTGATGATCCCTGCACAAGGTGACCTGATCTAGGGGGGATTGTAGATTGCAAGGAGTCGCTGAGGTCTTCGGTTTTAATCTGAAAAAGAGCAAAATAATTGTAGCATTAGGGAGGAGAGACAAGGGGATGCAGGAGGTGTGGGACAGCTAGGAGTGAGAGGCTAGAAGGGATAAGGAAGGGGCTCCTTTCAGAGAAAAGTTAGAGGTCAGGAATCACTGCTTCCCTCCCTGGCTTTGCACAAAGGCATGGTTGCTCCCCGCTTCTGCTCTGTGGTTTATAACATGGACATAGTTTTCCTGCTCTGCCAAGCCAAGAGGAGACTTGCACTTTGCTCAGTTAAAATGCATTGATTAAAACACTTTAGGAAGCAACCAAGTTCCAGTGACTTTGCAAGTTTTAAGCAAGAGCTTTCCTTAGACAACACACTGAGGCATTTTGTGGAGTTATAAGGAGGACATGAAGCTGTTCTCCATTATAAATCACAGCTCACAACCTGATGGCGGGGTTGGCTATAGATAACCTCTTGTTTTGTTCTGCAGGTAGTAGAGAACAGTACACGGGAATGGGAAAGGAAAGGTCATGAATTAAAAGACCTCAAAAAGCAGTGTAATCTTCCAGACTTGAAAATGTAGTACCCCAGACACGAAACATATTTGCTCAATTTCTAACAGAAAGCAACAAGAAATGGTATTGGTCTGGCAAGGAAAAATCTGCTTCCTCACAATCTGTGGAAAAAGAACTGGAAGACTTCACAGGTGTCAGCCCTTTGTCCAGTGGTCATTTTGACCTACTACTTTAATGTTCAAGAAAGATTCTGGTCTACAAAAAAAAAAAATAGTGATTTCTGAGTCCACATTCTTAATGGAAGAATTCACCCAAATATCAGAACAGAATCCTTGTTTCTGGTTTATCCTGTAGTTGCCATGTTAATGGCACTAACATTGCCACTACATTTAACAAAAAAAAAAAAAAAAACCAAAAAAACAAAAAAACACAAAACAAAAAAAAAAAAAAAAACAACAAAACAAACAAAAAACAAAGCAAAATTTTAAAACCGCTAAGCAAACAAAAACAAAAAACCCCCACCCCACTCTTACTCCCCAAAAACCCCTAAACCCTAAAAAAACACTAAACCAACCAAAATAAAAAAACTGTCACAACTTTGTACTAGCTGAAATCGTTTGATAAATCTGACTGAGACAAGAGAGAGGGGAACCTGGTTGAGGAGATTTCGGAAGATTTTAGGTTAATTTCTGAAATCTGAGAAGTGTCTATGCAGAGATGCCATGCACAGGAGGGAGACAATTCATACAGATCTCTTATAACACATTTTCTCTAAGAAGGATCCAAGTAAACAATTCCCAGCCTTAGGCTCAAGCTCTTCTTAAGCATGAGGGTGCATGGAACAAGGCTCATATCATGAGTCCCATTCCTTATCTAAGCCTTTCCAGTGCAAGAAGACGCTACAATTTCCACAAACTGGAAAAACCAGGAGGACACTAGAAAGGACAGGTCTTGAAAACCCTGTCCACAGGCTCAGCATTGCAGAATGATTCTTACTACTAGGGCTGAACCTTACCACCTCCCATCAAATTACTCCTGAGCTCAACATCCCCGAGAAGACAATCAGGGTCGCAATTGCCGGGGTTTTGCAGTGCTGATGTGGACTCTAAGTCATACAACCTCCCACCAGCAGAGGGGGACAAGAAATTCAGCTTTTGAAAACAATGGCCCAAGCAAGTATTCTTGGTTGCAGGAGGTTTTATTTCAATTTGACTAAAGAAAACAAATACACAAATCTTCACAGGAGCAAAGGAGAAAATGTGAACACAAGAGGCTCGCAGCTGCAGTGCAGGGAGCTGGCCCTGTAAGATTAACCTCTTCATTTTGGAAGGTACTACACAGAGGGAAGAGAATTACAACATCTCCCTTCATTACAACTGCAGTTCTGGATACTGCCGAAACTAGTTTTGCAATAATGCTAGCTCCTTGCAACAAGAGTTACACATGCTATGAATTCCAGTTCTTTCCTACCTTTCAGGTTGGCATGATCATCCCTCTTAGCCTGGTGAAAAAAAATCAGATTGAAAGATCTTCTTGATCACTATCAATGCGGATAGTGTCTAAGTTACTAAATGTTAGACAAAAGGCTCAGGAGAATACACCGTTACCCCTGAGCCATCCAGTCATTGCAAGCAAATAGTTTTATGTACATTTTGCTTTCTGAGGGCTCATTAAAAAGAAGTCATCTGAGCCAAAAAGAAAAATAAATTAAAAAAAAAAAATACCCCTGCTTGCAATTCACGTGTGTCTGCCTCACACAATGCAGTCATCCGAGTCTGAACAGTCCCAAAAAGAAAAGTTATCCGTGTCTTAGAGAACAAGGCACTTGATCCCGCTTAAGTTATGATCCCAATAGGAGTGGAGTGTTGAAGAAGCGCAAGCCATTTCCAAACTGAAATCAATTTTTACAGCTGCCAAGCAGAATGATTTGGAAGTGTTCCAGGGTGAAAGGGGTGTGTAGCTGCATCCCGGCATCGCACAATATGAGAACGGGAGGTGGGTTTGGCAAAGGACCGGTTCCCGATTTAAAAACAACAACATCTCCCACTGCTCCTTCCCCCGTCCCTGGAATTCTCTGGCTCCCTCCTGTGCAGTGGGCGGGAACCTGGGTGTTCTTGACAAATCTTTCTCCCTGCACCTATTTCATTGGGTTTAGGCTCAAATTTGCTTCTCCCTCCTCTTCCTCTCCCCAACAGGCCTGCAGCTGGCTAATTGTTCATTAGCAAGAGTTCAGGATATATCCAAAACTTTTGGGATGGCTTATGCAAATCCTGTACTTTCATTTTTTCCCTGGATAAACCGGCAGTATTACCAACTGTACATTAAAAAAACCAAAACCAAAAACCCCAAAAAACCACACACATTGTGGGCGAGGCCATTCAATATCATAAGACTCCCTTAAAATAATGTAAATTTCAAATGAATAAAACACGGGGAGGAGTTGCCTTCTCCTTTCCCAGTGCATCTGACTCATGCTTGCAGGCATTTTCTACAAATAAGAAAAGTTTTCTTTAAGGAACCCAAAAAGGCTGAAATTATCACAGAATCACCTCATGTAGGTATTCAGTGAGAACCCTGCTAGAACACTGCAAGCAAGTAACAGTGATTTAGTTAAAACCAGGACCAGATCCCACCGGGGTTCCTCCAAGTTCTACACAACAATCAGGCCAGACAGGGAATGGGGAACAAGAAGTCATTGAGAGGAAAGCTAAGTTTCTTCCTATTGAATATGATTTCGGGAAATAACACTATCTAGGGAAAAATGAGCTTGTAAACCAGCAGGACCAAGTAATGCGCCGCTGACACATCCAGCTCACTGACAGCTAGGGAGAGGTGTGGAGCCTGGGTTGCCAGCTGCAAATCTATGGTCACCTTCTTCCCCTTGGGCTGGAGGGGAGTCTGCGGGCAGGGCTGGGAGCAGCTTGGAGATCCTCCGGAGGAGAGAACAGCAGGTGGCGGCACCCGTACGTAGAGCTACCTAGGGTTTCTCTGGGATAGGGAAGGAATCACACTTGGAAATCTCAAGTGGATGTTTTCACAGCCTTAAAATAGGGTCAGCTGCCCCCAAGCAATCAGAGTGAAAAACACAGGAAGGGTGACTGGATGGAAGGAGAGTCCTTTCCTTAGTTGGCTGGCACGTCTGCTGGGCCTGGCCAAGGATGGATTGTTTCTTACCTATCTCTGGCCTAAAAACAAAAACAAAAAGCAAAACAAACTAAGAAACATATTGAGGGCGATGGAAAATGATCAAAGCTCTTCAGCTTGCTTGCGTAACCGATTTGTGGAAGGTGTTTCATAAACATTTCATAAGAAGGAGAATTATGAAGAAAACATCTCCCAACCTGCCTGCAATTACTGCACAAACTCTTCCTTACCAGTAGGAAGAAGGGGAGGAAAAAAAAAAAGTACATCTGTTTTGTAACTGATCTGTGAACTTTTGGCAAACATTCGGTTCATGAAAACATCCTGCAGACATATTGCAAAGCTGTAAAAAGTCAGCCTTACATGAGGAAGTTGGAAATATTCACCTTAGCAGCTCTGATTTCACCACCTAGAAGGCCATACCCTTCTCACAGACAGACCGACCGACCCACATTTGATTCAATGGGCTAATGGTTTGATCCCATTTGTTGGCCAGGACTCCGGCTGCAACCCTCCTCATATAAGCCCAGTTTAGGGTCGCTGCTCACTGCTAATCTGAATTGGTCATCCTTGTCTGTTAGACAGCAAAGCGAGCAGCCTGAATGCAGCCCCAAGCCACCTCCTTTAGATGAGCACTTCTGATGTAACATAGGCACCACTCTGTCATCCTCTTTGCAAAGGTGGGACCCACCGACTGATTCAGCACCCAGAGCCTCGGATGCTTTCTCCAAATCTAGATAAGAGATCTTTGTACCCTGCCAGAGTGAGGCCGTTAAAGCCATGTCAGCCTTCTCCAGTACCAGTTATTAGGCAGGAACTGTGGTCCTTATGGTAAGATAGAAAACAATCATATTTGTTGTGTAGTTTCTATTTAAACAGTAACCTCTTTGAAACAGATATTTATCTGCATTCATATCTGGCTTATCTCATAGTCAGCAACTCTCTACTGTTTGAGAGTTTGACTTACTCATATCCCTCCCTCCCCCCGTTGCAGATTAGTAAGGCTATTACCCCGGTCAGCAGACGGTCAGGTGTAGAGACTTAAGAGGGTCTGAACCAATTGCCCCTCTCTGAAAACTAACAGCACAGTTCTTCCAGGGCTGAATCACTCACAAAGCACTATTCAGTACAACAGGGCTGTCAGACGCTGCCCCAAAGTGATTTGCCTGAAGTCAAGGGAGGAAGTTTTATGATAGAAACAGGTATCAAAAGTGGATCCAAGGCTATTGCAGTGAACTAAGCTTTCCCACCTTCCAATGGCGTAAGAGTACTTCTCTGTGAATTACCTGCACACGTGGGCACCATAAAATAAAAAACACACTAATAATAAATTATAGCAATAATAATAATGGGCTTGCAATTACTATTTCCAC